GACATGCCCGTGATGGGATATCGTGCCTGAACATCATGGAGGAGGTTGCGTCCGTGGGTGCGCCGAGGCATGGGGTGACATGGCTTGGCTTGGGAAATGGACATCTCACATTCAGCTCTTTTCCTCTTGTCTCTGTCATCTCCATGTGTAAGTGCCCGTGGGCCCACGGCAAGCCGCATGTCGGTGCGCAACAAGATGCGTGGATGGATGAAGCCTAAAAGGGCCCGAAGGAGGTGGTGATCTGCCCGCCTGTGCCCTCCAACGTCACAAGTGTCGACCTACAATGACGAATTTGTCTCTGTTGGAGTTTCTTATTCCTCGGGCTGAGCAAGCATCGCACTAAGATACCACGCCCCCGCCGTGCCCCCTTGACTCGGGAATTCCAAGCAACGTACAAAAACACTCTGCCGTCATATTGGAATTTTGCTTTTTCTCTTGGGGTGGTGGTGCATCAAACATCCCGCGTTCTGCTGCGTGTTGAGTGAGTCTTGGTAATGGTTGTCTTGGGGGAATGCATGCCCGGAGTCTCTTCCGATCCCCCCGTCCCTGGTCCAGACTTGGAGATCAATCAGATTAGGTCGCCAGGCATGGGCTTGGTTCGACAAAACCTCGGGGCCCCTTGCGTAAGAACGTCTTTTGGGATGTCTTGCACTCTGCTAATTAGGAGAGGATTGAATCGTTGTTTGGTTCAGTAAACGTGTAAAGTGCCTGCATTGGAAGTCTTCTTGGTTCCGTACGCATGTACTTACTGCTAAGCGCTCGGTTTTGTCCAACGTTTGACACGTTCCGTCACTGAAGATCTTACAAGTTTTCCTCATGGACTATTTTTTTTTTCATCGCATCGTCATCAATAATGGAGTAATTATCGCCCACTCTTCATGGATGGTCAACCGTCTTAGTGTATGAAGTTTGGACCGTTGAGAAGAAAATCAGCAGAGAAATTTTATGATCCGAGAAATGAGATGAAAACCCAAGGATCTAGGTTGTGTCAAGCAAAGGCAGGAAGGGGAAATAGGAAAAAAAGTTTCCGCCCCCCCTCATCCCGATCTCGTCCCGAAAGACAAGCAAAAGCCAATTCACTCTTTGACCCATTCGCTTCTGTGTGAGATGAAGAGGAGCAGTGGAAGCTCGCGGTTGACTGACGCGTGAAAAGTTGTGAGAGTCGTGAGAAAGGGGTGGTGTGTGTTGAGGGGAGCTAAGGGAAGCTTTGCATGAACGAACTTGAAGCTATGTTGATATTAAAAAGGCTAATTGAGGACGAGGAAGGACGCGAATACATGAGGGGAAAGAGTTACAGAATCCAGACGAAATAGAGTTGCTCTACCATTTTCCCTTCATTTGCGGCTATTACAACCGGACAAGTCATGATGATGATATCCGTCAGACTTGATAACGATCTCAACCCGGCCAATAGGTTTCTTGGTCCCGTTGAACAAGCCCGACGCGGGAACTTAACATGGAAACTCAGAAAGAATGGTTGACTTTTCTCGTTTTGCCTTTTTTGGCTCTCGGGCTGCCGTGGGCTGTATGGGCTGTCAACTCTAGCGGCTGCCGCAACCGCATGAGAGAAAGCCTAACGGTCAATGGCGCCAGGGACGAGTCATGTTCTTGTCAGACGGGCGTGACGGGGAGAGGAGCGGTTGGAACTTGGTGTGAAGAAGCGGTTCAAAACGGCGCGCTTTGCGGTAAGACCTCTCGCTCCCCTCCACTCCCGAAGCCACGCATCCCACCAAAGGAAACGGGGTGTGACAAAAAGAAGAAGGGCAACTTGTGCCCGTTTTCGCAAGAGCATAGTTTGGCTGGTCTGGTTTGATCGTGGTCTGGTCTGTTTATTTTTGCGGACGATCTTCATGCAATCGCTATGCGGGGCCTTTATCAATGGTGTGTGTGTGTTGGTGATGATGGTGGGTGTTTGTTGCCGAACGACCGTTTGAAGCGGCTAAGCTGTTGCTTCGTGCGCGTTCTCTTTTTCTGCTTGCGCACAGTTGCGCGCGATGGTCACCGTCTTAGGATAAGTCGCGGCATTAATCGTTCTTCTGGTGCTTCTTTCTCAAAAAGAGGGGTTCTATCAAAGTCACGGGCACGGATTAAAGTCAAGCATGATGAGCAGAGTCAACAAGAGTCATTCATATCGGCTCGGATTGTCAGATGGATGCGAAATGGACGCGCGGTGTTTGCAACAAGAGACGGCATCGAGAGGGTTGAGGTGAGGTGTGTTTGGATCCGGTTTGCTTGGACGGCATATGGTGTTGAGAGACGATAATGGGCCCATAGCAAAAAAAAAAAAAGAGACTCCAACAACAAGTCATGTCAGGGCATAGCATATCTCCATCGCATCGCGATCTCGTTTTACCGCAACGAGGAGGATCCGCAAAGGTGGGCCTGGGTTGTGAAAGTTCGGGACGATCACGATGTCGGCCCATTCTGCCAGGTTTCTTGCGGAATCCGTATAATTACTAACAGTGAGGTGGTCGCTACCTAGTGGAGAGGCGCCGAGTATCAAGGGGACGAGGGTACTGTGAGATAGCTCTCAGACCGACGGCCGGGCTTTTTTGAGTTGCCTTTCAGGCCCGGCCAGACTGCGGCTGTCCACGTTTTTCTTGGCCAGGTTCCTCTCAATGTGACAGACATACAGCACGGCGGCCCGAACCCCAAAGTTGCGTCGTGTCGTGCTTCGCTGCTTGGTGCTGTGCTGGCGCCTGGCGGTAGTGAAATTTGGGGGACCTTGTTAATATGAGTTTGCCCTCGGACAGTGGCACTTTTTGATGAAGGTCAGGTCATGATAGCCAGCACTAGGGAACGTTATGGCCAGCACCAGGCTGGGTTTGGTAAGGGCTCAAGATTAAGGTCGCGCCGCCCCCGGGGGCCCAAGATTGACAATGACAGACAGCTGCCCAGCTACGGGGCCTAGTAGGTGCTAGACAGGCGCGCGCAAGAGGTCTAGAAGAGCCGTGATAGCCCAAGCTAAGAGCAAGGTTCCTGAGCCGTGGGTTCAGGCCCAGTCTCGATACGGACAAGATTCAAGATGAAGAGTGCCCAACTGGGAGTTGCTGAATACGACTTCATCTTGCTCATCCTCGTAGCTTAGAATGAGGGTGGTATATTCCAATGTTGTGTTCCGCGTGGGAGGTGTGAGTAGGAGAGGTCCGTGGGTGAGCTGGACGGCAGCCAGCCAGGCAAAGAGTTGGAGAAGGTTGCTGCCCAGTTCAATTCTCTCTACCTATCCCTCGGTATCAGGATAGGGAATGCCAGAGAACGTGATGGAGATGGAGATGCCCAGAGTGAGTGACCACTACGTAGTACCTAACCAGAGTGAGAGAGACCTGATTGAGAGTGAGAGTGACTCGGCGAGCATCAATGAGAGGAGAGATGATTAGGCGTCATACCCCTGCCTCACACGCGCTAGCAGACGTGTTCGGTGCCCACACGCCCCCTGGTGACCAGCACTTACACCCACACCTCCCAAAAATACCACTGGAAACTGGGACAAGTCGTCACCGAAGCCGAGATGCGGTTGGAGGGAGGCACGTTCTCAGGAGCCGCTGGGGGTGTTGAGTGAGTGACAGAGAGAGAGCCACAGACAGACTGGGGAGAAACTGGAAACACCGTGTGCGACGACGCTTCGTTCGGCCGGATGTGTTGACGGGCAGATCCCAGTCAGCCCTTTTTCATGTTGCGTGTTTACCTTTCCACTAGGTACGCCTTTTTATTTTCTTTCTACTTGCTCAGTGGAGACAAACGGCTCTCAGTTCCCCTGGGGAGTGAATGCAATTGTATGAATTTCCATCCAGTCGCAGAGCAGCTTTTCATCTGTAAAGTGGTCCACGTGTTGTCATTCAGAGTGAGAGTGATGCTCTCACTGAGGCACGCTACTGAGCTCATTCAAGCCCACTGAAGTCTGAGGGGACGGATAGACCCAGAGGCGGAGTGAGAGGCCGGCGTGAGAGTGAGAGTGAGAGGGGCCACGGGCGGGCGGCTGCACCCACTTTAACCTTCTTTCCTCGCTTCCATTCGTTCTTTGCCGGCCCTGTGCCGCCAATTGCGATGCCGCCCACGTAGGTATTTCTCTTGCTCTCTCTTTTCTGCCATGCTACGGATATTCGAATGGATACCTACGGTACGGATACACTGCTGGCTGGTTTTCCTCCAGCGTGCTGTGCTGTCGAGAGTTCCATTTCTCGTCGTCCCCTCATCCTTGGTCGTGCCGGTGGTGATCAACCACTCGTGGTCTTGATCGTCCCTCCCACCGCTCGTCCCACACCCCCCTTCCAGTCGTTTTCTTCTCACCGCACCTTTGACCGCCGGGCAGAATAGCAGCCCAGCAGCAGAGGAGCAGCGCAATTACCTATGTATTCCATTGTAACATTGATGGAACTGCAGTAACATTTGCAATACCGAAAGAGCATTGAATGTCATTGTGTTTGGCCTCGTGTTTGTTAGTGGCGGCTATTTCTTGACCGATAGCTCATCATCATCTTCACCACCACTACTCACTCACTTGTACTTTGCTCTCAGTCTCACTTTCAAATTCACTCTTTTCGGCGGTCTCTCACTCTCACTCTCACCCTCACTCTCACTCGTCAGTCTCAATCACACCCTCCATCCAACCTCAATGCTGCTTAATCCTCGGCCAATCCAAACCATCTCACAGTTTTCCCAAAAAGACACTGGACAGAAACACCCACACCCCCATCCATCCATCCATCCCGCACACCACCACATCATCATCGCAACACACACACAACGCACGTCCACCACCCACCACGACCACCCACACACCAGCATCCTCGCACCCCCCTCCCCTCCCCTTCCCATCCACCATCATTCATCCATCTCCATCCTCCATCCCTGCTCGTCTAGCGTGCTCTGTCTTGCCTGTTCCACCGACATTACCAGCTCGCTGTGGAGACGCCGCAAAGCCTCACTTCCATGACTGGACATTCGTTGCGCTGCTGATCCTGTCGACTTCTTTAAACCACTGGCCTCTCGCCGTCCGCCTTCCCGAATTCTCCTGCGATCGTCTTCCTATTCGAAGCCACAGACTTCCCTGTACCATCGAACATCAACTCGCCTCAACCCGCCTCGCCAAACTTCAAGTCAAGTCAACCTTGACTCCTGCTGCTCGCACAAATCTTCGAGACCCCCCCAACAATCCACCAAAAGAGTCTCGAATACCAGGAAACAAATCTTGACTCCCGCCGGGTCTTATTGTTTCGCCGCGCAGCACCAGCCATACTACATAGAAAGACAAGACCAAGAACCAAACAACAGCGTTTTGTCTTGCTCGTCTCGCTCCTAGGAAAACAATTAATTTTCCCCGCCCGGTTTCCACAACTTCGTCACTCGGGAGACCTTGAATGCGTTGGAGAAAGAAGAACGAGGCTGCAGCAACATCGTGTCACATCACACCTCGTCTACTACCGACGTCTAACACCACACTCTATCCCTCCGTCTTGACTCGGACGGCCTTGAATTCCTCAACCGAGTGGTAGCCCGACACGCTTCACTCTTCCTCACCATACCATACCCACCCTAGCTTCTACGCCCATCACCCCGCTGTTCTCCGCCGACTTGAGCCAACATGAACCATCCTTACAATAACGTCCAGGAGATTCAGAGGCAGATGCAACAGAAGCAACAAGAGCTGGCAAATCTCCAAAACCTTCTTCTTCAGCAAAATGCATCAGTAGCACCGCAAGCTGCCCAGAGCAATTTCAACCTGCTCCCATCACAAGGGGACTACCATGTAGACGCTGCCGCCTTCACACAACACCAACAGCCCAATGCTGCTCCTCTGCTCAACCGCAGGGCCACAATACCCAGAAGCAAGTCCAACATGGGCTACGCTGCCCAACCCACAAGAATGATGGTAATGCAACACCACAGCCTCCATCACCATCATCACTGCTCGTGACTATCGTGAATCAAGTGTCCGTGTGCTAACAATCTCTTCCAGGAGCGCACAAGTGATGACTCGCCCCATCCCGTAAAGCGCGCGAGGGTCATGTCCCAGCAGCATCCCCGCGCCACGCCCATGACGGGCATGTCTAGAAGTGCTTCCAACAGATCAGAAAAGTCTATCCCTTTTGTCGTCAAGGGCCCTCTACAGCCCCTCCAGACGTCAAATAACCCCAACCCCATGATGGACCGCTTCTACCAGAGCCAAGATGACCCTCATGTCCTGTTCGAGTCCTCCCTTCAGAGATCGCCAACAAATAAACGCCACTCGGATCTCTCGCCTGTCGAGGAAAACGCAGGTTTCCCAGAGGTCGGCATGAACCCTCTCGACTTCCTCGCTGCGCAAGACGAGAGCATACCATCTCCAGCCATGGTCCCGCCGCCGCAGAACTTCCTGACGCCCTACGATGGCCGGAATTCACAGGCCAGCCTCATCAACTCGGTTTGCCCGTCCATGAGCTCTGGCACATCGGCTGCCGAGACCATGCCTCTTACGAGGGAGAACAGCTCTTTCGACAATCAGTCACTCAGCGGCGCATTCGGTATGACGAGAATTAACTCGGCACATTCCCAAGGCGCTGCCGACTTCATGTCTCCGGAAGTTTACGCTGTCCCCTCCGGCACGTCACCGAATAAGTCCGATTACCTCGCCTACGTCGGCGCGGGCACTAGCTTGTCGCCTCAATATCCTCAACAGTCGCCCATCGATGAGCAGTTCCTCAGCCAAGGCTCCTCGATGATGGAGCGCTCTATCTCCGCTACCAGCAACGCATCTACCAAGTCAAGCACCGAGCGCAGGGCGAAAGAAGCACGCCTTCAGCAGATCCAGAATGCGAACCGCACAAAGATCTGCCCCAAGCCTCACGACGCGGTTAAGTCCCAGTCGGCTTCTGCTAAGAAGGAAGGCAAGGTTGCTGTCTCTAAGGGTAGCTACACTCGTCCCAAGCACCCCAAGGTGTTCTGCGACATGTGCAGCGATCACCCCGACGGCTTCCGCGGCGACCACGAGTTGCGCAGACACATCAACGCTAAGCACGAGGGCATCGTTAAGAAGTTTGTATGCCGCGATCCCAGCACGGTCGGCATGCAGAGTGGCGTCCAGGCTATCAACCCGCTCTCCAAGTGCAAGCAGTGCGTCGCCCGCAAGCAATACGGCGCTTACTACAACGCTGCAGCTCATCTCCGCCGAACGCACTTCAAGCCCAAGACTCCCCGTGGCAAGAACAAGCGGGGCGACGAGGAGGAGAAGCGTGGCGGCAAGGGCGGTGGCGACTGGCCCCCCATGAACGAGCTCAAGCAGTGGATGGAAGAGGTGTTTGTGGCTGCCGACGACGAGGTCGCTGAGGGCGAGGCTCAGGAGGAAGACGAGGAGGAGACGCAGGCCACTGCCCAACAGTTCGACCCCTCCATGTCGATGGACCTGTCTCTTGGCCACATGGGCGAGAACATGACCTACGACATGGGTTTCCCTCAGTCCTACCACATGCCTGAGTTGGCGGCGATCGACACTACCCAGGCCTCGTACCTGGCCGTTTCCAACATGCCGCTCTCCTCCGCGTCGGAAGCCTTTGCCTTCTCCCCGTTTGGTCAGAACTCGCCAATGAACAACGGTTTGTCGCACGAGACGGCCTTTTCCATCTCGTCGTCAAACACTGTCACACCCACCAATTACCACCAGGACCCGCTTGCCGCGGAGGGCTTTGAAGGCTACACTGCCTACTAAAGACTAATTGGGAACGTTGTTGAATTCTCACGGATTTAATTCTTTCTTAATTTCGGAATATTTCACACAATCGTGTCACTCGTGTCGCACTTTCTACCGCAAATCGTGATTGGGATTGGGATCTTGGGCAGTTGGGCCGCGCTCAGGCGTTCATTGGGCCGACTTTCGGTTGACCATCTGCATGACGCGGCTCTGCCCAACATCGCCCTCCACCACGCGACCTCCGCAGCGTCGACCAAGAAAAAAGAAATCACGAAAAAAAAGCGAGAACGATTTTCCTTCCATTGGCAATTTTGTCATGACATCATGATCAGTACCACCACGGCTGCCCGGTGTCGTCGGCCGAGTGGAGACACTCGCTGGGTCACACCCGCGCAGCCGGATTCATTTCTATTCCCCGTCTTTTCGATTCTCAGTCACTTCCGGACTCTCTTCGATATCGACCTATCTCTATTTATATCTCTCTCAACCGGTCGGGTCGAGATACGTTTCACAATGGCTCAGTGAAATGCGGTGACAGCATTTCGCGCCTCAAGAGCCGAATGCCTTTCGGTGGTGCAACCGAGGCCTTGGAATCATTGCTGTATATATACACACACAAACGGCCACGTTTCTGGACGACCAAAACAGTTTCCAGCGGATGGATCAAAAGGGGTGGTGGGAGGCGAGCGGAATGGCAACCGTCGCTCCCCCGATCCCGATACGGTACACAGGCGTTGTGCTCTGCTCTCCGCGAGGAGAGTTTTCTTACTCTATTCTTGGAATTTTACAATCTTGTGTTTTCTTGCGAGGTGTTGGGGATTTGGGATTGTTACGCATGCTTTCTGGGAAGACGAAAGGGTTCGTCCCGTAGACATGTATATACATGGGTTGGATGGATGGCTGGTTGGGTTCAAGACGCACAGCACGCGCTTGCGTTGGATGGGTTCAGGAACACGGCGGACATGTGGTAAATGTCCCACTTGGGTGCATAGCACGAAACAAGCAAACTAGGTGTTCATCACCTTTCACATCATGATCTGCCTGGTTCCCAATGTGAAGCAAAGTGTACGAGGTTGAGGTCACGAATCTACTTGGAGCTGGAGAACTGTCTAGCGCAAGTAAAAAAAAGTGCACAGCGGCTTTCACCCTGAACGTTTCTGCACTGGGTTTCCCCGAGATGAGGCACGCTGTCTACGACACAAAACATGTCCAGCTCAGGATACATTGTATAGGTCAATGACTTCAGCCGAAGCAGAGCGTTCAATCCGAATCCCTTGCCTGGTCCGAGAGGAAGCCAAGTTGTCTCGAGACTAAGTGGCGGCGACATTAATCCCGGCGACCGTTACATGAAAGCTAAATTTGCTTTGCTAAAAGAATTTCATGATCCATACTCGTGGTCAAGGTCCAGAGTCGTAGACTTCGGCTCAAAGTCGGAGATCTTGTGAGGTAGCCTTGTAGACGGTTAGTTGATGACCTCGACCTTTGACGACGTCATGAGATGCCGAAGAAATAACGCTGAGCAGCCACGGGGCGACGATAGGAGTCTTGGTTCTTCTGGTTCGCCTCATCCTAGAAAGACACTTTGTGTATTTGGACATCTAAGCATGGTCGTGCTCAGGTGTGAATCAGGGACACCTTCAATGTGTGGAATGAGTTGCTTCACAATTTGGGACTGGCTACTAAGTATCCACATCGAACGCCTCCGCCATGATACATATTCGCTTCTGAAATGGTGTCTTAAATGGGCAGACTGCTAAAACATTCATTGAAAGCATGAATAGTCGGCATATGAACAGAGTTCCTCAACGCCAAGTTATTTACACCCGTGAACTTCCCTTTCTATTCAACTACCCTCATGTGTGCATAGATTCGGTCCCCCGCCCATCGGTTTCAAGCGTGTTATGCGAGCACCAAAACGGCGCTTAACGTGGCGATATTAATCGCGAAAAGCGAGACGATAATGATCTCACTGGCGAAGGCGATGATGCGATAGACGTTGGTGACGTGGGTGATTGCGTTTGAGTATTTTCATGAGCCTGCGACGACCGTGCAGAGCCTGGAGTCTCAGGGGAAGTTAATGTTCGCAGTGAGGCTGGACTTGCTGGCATGATTGTCGACGACCTTTGCGCGGGGTTGGGAAAGCTCGACTGTCGTGACTCGCTGGAGAAACTAGACAACTGCGGAGGTTGTGACGCAGACTGGGGCGACCGGTTCTGGTCGACGGACGAATTGCTCAACTGATTCGAAGCTTCCGTGAGGACATGACCTGCTCCTATTACTTGAGATGTTGGCAATGTATCCTCGGAGTCCTGGTGACGAAAGCTTCGCCCCCTGTCCAAGTGGCTCGATGACCTTTCAAGGCTGGGGACAGCAGAGAGAGCTGGGCCAAGGTTTGATTGCATCATTCCGTCAATATCTTTGCACAAGCTTCCGAGGAACATCTTGTAGACATCCCCATCGGCACTTTCAGTGTCGATCAGATCACTGCGGTGGCTAGTCAGCGGAGGAAAACTTCAAAAGGAAGCGCAGGTCTTGCGAAGGGTGGGCTTTGAAGCTTGCGAAGGGCTTCGAGAAAGTACTTACGGGCATCCATATAACTCCATATCATCGTCCAATCGTCGAAATCTCTCGGTCGCATTTCGGTGGTTGCCAAATTGGACGAACTGGATGGTCACAGGTCGGATTTCCGAGATGTCAACCTGGTCATCAGACTTTCCTGGCTGCACATAGGACAAGTCCCCGTGTAGGTCTTTCAGTTCATGGAAAGTTGATCTCAGGTGGATATCGATAGTGTGCTCCATTTTCATACCCTCCCATATCCCATCAGTAAGCACAATGATGGTTTTCTTACGTGGTGGACGTGGTGGGCGCTGCGAGGTCATCGCTCTCGTATAGCCGTTGATGATACGAGCGAGTTCCGGAACGATTGTAGTCTTAACATGATGTGACTGGCTAGGCTCTGCATTCTTCATGGCTGTGACGAACGTAATGACTGATTGTTTCTTCGTTTCAGTTATGCTTGCATTGGCTGGAGTGTCGGGATTCGTGAAGTACAGTTCCATGCCGTTGTCGTCGTATCCAATAGACCGCCAGACGAGGACCTTGAGGAGATTACTCGCCTGGGTCCAATGACCTGACATCGTTGATCCATTGTCGACAAGATAGATCTGACTATGTTAATGAAAGGAAAGATCAGTTGAAACAATGATGGGCTTACAATGTCTCGGTCTTTGAACTCGGTTTCCAAGCGCTGGTCCAAAAGCTCGAGGTTGCTCTTGCCTCTGACTGTCGTCTCTTGTTTTTGAACTAGCGACCTGAAGCTTCTGATAGAAGGCCTCCACTCTAGACCATTCTTCTCAAGCTCTCGCTGAACCTTCCATACTGTGATCAGGTTCCGATCGTGGCTCTGGTTGGACGGCGGCAAAGAGAGGTTTGGCTGATCTGGCGTCGATGGCGTGTCGATGGCATGTTTCTGTGGTGCCTTGGGTAGTTGCTGGGCTGTGACGTTCTGTTTTCCAACTTCTCTGGGAAACTTTTGACCATCAGTCCTGGTGTCCAGTGCAGGATGGAAACTGATTGACGGGTGTCTTGATTGTGTGGGGGACCCGTTTCGATTCTGTGATCGCTGCGCAACCGGCTGTATCACTTGCTCCAGAAGCTTCTCCCGGCTTTCGAATTCTATGTCGGTACGGGGCAAGCTTGGTACCACCTTGGGTGTTTTGCTTGTATCGTCGGAATCAACTCTTCGGATTCCTGAATGCTGGTCGTACAGCTGTTCAGAGCGGAGATCAATGTTTTGAAGTAGATCATGTAAGCCTTTTGGAACGGCAGACCGTTCGGCTTTGATGGTAGTGAAGAATCCGTCGAACTCTTTCCAGATTTGCTTTGCCGGCCATCGAGACTCACCCGGGACCAGCATAAAATTGTCCACGATGTTCAAAATCGTGTCTGTGTAGGCGTCGGTCCTTCTAGTGGCCTCTCTGAGATATGTGTGCCAGTACCGAACTTCCTTTAGAACGTTTTCCCCGTCGTGGAAGGCATCACTAGAGTGCCCCGTTGCGTTGAAAATGGCCTCTCTGCGCAACTGATTGAATATGAGGACTCCTTGCTGGCCCAAAACAACGTATGTTGCTGCGATGGAGAAGACACACCCAAGAGACCAGACATCGCTTGTCTGAGAAACGTCTGGCTTCTTCTGGCTGAACCCATCCAAGAAAGCCGCCTTCTCGGGAGCCGCTAGCAGAGTTGGTCAGCACAGCTACGCATCGAAAGCCCAAAAAGCTAGTAAAACTTCGAAGGAGTTTTGAGATTTCCTTGGATGCAAACCCACCATATGTTCTTGTACCCCCTGCTGATTTGACCTTCTGAGGTTCAGTGATGCTGGTCGTTTTGAGTTGCATGCTAGCTTCTCCAGGATCTGCCAATTTGAAGCGGTCATTGACTCGAAGAATGTTCTGTGGTTTGATGTCGCCATGCCATCTAAAAGTTAAAAGATCAGAATATACTTGACGTAGCCTGCGGTGTTGGATAAGCACTTACGTTAAATACTCTCTCCCGTCAATCTCCACCGTGTGTATCGATGCCAGGGCTCCTGAGATTTCTGACATCGCTTGCCAGAAATCTGAAATTTCTGCGACGGAGATTGGAGGCGATTCCTCCTGGATTGCCGTGTAAAAGTCAAAAGCCGCCAGCTCCAGCACGATATTGTAGTACTCTTTGAACCCTCCCTCATTATCAGGTTCGAAGCCTTTGAACCAGCCAATGTACTGTATCATTCCGTCTTGATTCTTCAGGTTTCTGAACATCTGTCTCTCGTTGAAAAAGTGATCTTTCTTGGCTGCTTCAAACTGTTTCAACGCAAAGCGGTATCGCTGTTTCGCCGTCAGTTTTCTAAAGTCATACCGACTCACGGACAAAATATCCAGGACGACACACCTTCCCTTTGCTTCCGTCACATGCACCGCCTTCTTGCCTCTCTATCTTTGCGCTAGCCATTTGCTTTTGAAGGTCTGGGTCTACGAGCTCCTCGAGCACGTCAATGGCGTACAACGTTGCAGTGTTGGCCCGAGGGACTTTTCCGCCCCGATACGGCATAATGATCTCCTTGCGTGAAAATGGACTGATTATGCCAAGCCCATGAGGTCCACCCATATCCATTTTGAAGTGAATTGGGCACCATGCAAACTGATTGCGATGGAAGTCATCGTGGAAGCTTGGGAGCCCAGGCGGTGCTCGTATATGATTTCGCAACTTGTCCCGATCAATAGGAAGAAGGTTGAAGTTGTTGTTCCAAAATTCGTGAATCAGATTCGGTGCGCCAACATCTAGAAGGTTGTAGAAAACCGCGAGGTGTTCGTAGTAGTGATCCCGTTGCAGTTGCGGAGGATCAGGTCCATGGCGAAGGTAAGCTGTTTGTCTGAGCCGGTCTAGATCGTTTTCGTAATCGTCTGAGCAACTGATAGACCGTTGTGTGAGCCTTGCTGTGACGTTGCTCACCAATACAAAGCTTCGCCCACAAGCTGCAACTCTCGTCTCTTGCTTGCGAAGCTCACGGAACTCTTCCAGGGCCGTCTGGAACTCCTGCGCAAAGGCTTCTTGACCAGAGGACATGGCAGGAATCAAAGCTTGACGACACCTATAGTAGGACTTGGAAAACTTTATGGGTGACAGAAGTTGAGGGGCAGGTTTTGGTGGAGGAAACAAGACGGAACGGGAATTAAGAAAGAGAGATCAATCTGCGAGGCAGAGCGAGGTCAAATGGGGAGGAACCTGCAATATGAACAGAGAAGGCTCCGGCGGGGTGAAGTGGAAACGAGGGGTGATGGCCTCGATCTGGGTACTGGGCCTTTGCAGGAGAAGGCTCGGGAGAGGGCGCCCGCTACCTTACTCAAGGTGCGGCTGAAGCTACCCCAAGCTAGGTCTGCACACATATTCTCGCAGTAATGCAGGATGGCGTTCTGCCAAACAACCAGTGACCGTCAAGATGACCTCAAGGTTTAGGCATGGTGCTCGCCCACTGAATACATTGAACTCGCTAAGATTGTTGGCTCTGCATCCTATCAATTTCTAGATGCATGACTAAGAAAGATCACCTTAGGCACATCAAAGGCGGACAGTTGTGGGACTAAAAAGCGACATAGCCATGGTGTTTTGAGACAAGAGGGGTGAGAAGTACAATCTGGTGGCTGCAGGATCTGCTATCACCTGAGTGGGAGGTCCTATGTCCTTACCCCCCTCTCGACATTGCGACCTTACCATCCATCACAAGAAGGGTCGCGGACCAGAGATACACACCTCCTCATATTATACCCCCCCGTTTCTTCTCAACGCTTCGATCACACCACCTCCGGCTGCCTGGCACGCATAATTACTTCCTATCTTCCTGTCAGGATAAGTCATACCCGGTCTCTAATGACTCCTCGTATCTTCGTTGTGCACTCAAGCGCCCCTTGACCGTAGCTGCAATCTCAAGATTATCATTTACAAATATCCAAATCGCATTAATGTATCCAAGTAGTGGAAGAATGTGCAGTCTGTTTCAGTTCGATGACTTTTGCACCTATTCCACGCATGATTCCTCTTCACCTATTGATGTCGCCTAAGCTTCAAAGAGCGTGTATGTATCAACAAGTTGAAAACACTGCTCAATAAGTGCGGGATCAAGCGCCAGGACCCATGATCGGAGAAGCACGAAGTCTGACCCTCGTCCTGGTGCGGCTCAATGATGGTGATCAATTCATAGTTCGCTACTGGCTATTGCGTCTTGTGAAGTTGCAAGGTGTTGCGCCATTGTTTCGATTGGATAATCCGATATGAGCTCACCATAAGGCACCGCAGATGAACGATGTAAGGCAGATGGACGCCTGCTGTCAGCCTGCTGGACTTTTTTCGCCCCAGACACCTGCCTGCGCGAGGGTAGGCGCTGGATCTCGTTTTGTTGGTCAGACCGCGGGTTCATAAGAGAGCACCACCCGCGACTGAGGTACGAAATTTCACCCCATGGTTTCGACACCCTCCCGGTTCACTGCCCCCGCCGCAGCCTGCTTTGGAGAGGCAAAATCGACCTCTTATAAGGGAATTCGCCCGACAGCCTGCTTCTTGCTGGTTTGCGCTTCGCCGCGATAATCACTTAATACAGCCTGATACGGGGTTTGGTTTCCACTGTCATGTCGCCTTCGCAAAATACAGCACACACACAGACGAGAAGATTCAGCTGGAGAAGATCAGAGCCAACCCCGACAATGCCGGCACCTCTGCGGGCTACAACCTTTCCGCCTCCAAGCGGATGGGTTCTGGAGACCGTCTATGCGTACAATCTGAGATGGCCCATCTTACGACAATGGTTGTGTGATACCTTCAAGAAGGAAGGTGGCCAATTCAGCGAAAGCCAGGTTCGTTTCTAGTCACAGTGGTTTCGTGATGTACGAAAATTGATGGAGAGAAGAAAAGCTCACATTCCCAGAACTTGCGAGAAGATGAGTTCATTTTCTACGCGCCTCGGCAATTACAGGATGTAAGTAGCTTAATTCCCTATGCCACTACGACACATGACAAGCTAATCTGGCCAAGCACGAGCGAACATATATAGATATGAATTTGCGAGAGACAGCAGAGAAGGACAAAGATAGGCAGAATGAGACAAGAGCCAGAACACCGGACCCCCCGATGATTCAGCGGCAATACCCATTTTGATTTGGATTTTGGAGGGGGCTCAAGGGGCTGAATAGGCTGATGGGCGCCATTGAGAGATAACTTGAGTTGTTCTTGAAGGGGCCAGAGGCGATTTCAAGGGACCCTCTCTTCAAAATTACCCAAAGAGTATGAGTTAGTAACGAAAAATGTAAACCCTTGCTCAAGATTGATTGGTCCATGTGCTCACCGTACAGTCCAATCCAAGCCGCTTGGGGTACGCCACAGTAAGCCCGGGCGCGTAAATGTGGTCACACTGCAGGGCACCAACATGCCAGTCATCCCAAGCTGGGCTTCGGTGAAAGACACTGACGCACTATCGAGATCTCTCAGCCCCTGCAAGGTGACTAGGGACGAGAGCTGCGAATGGGTAGATAGCCTGGAGAGCCTCGCGTCAGCCTCGGTCATCGGGGAGGCGGAGCATTGTCAAAATTTCTGAAGAACACTCATCTGACCTAGGCATACACAGGGAGGCAGGGCATCCCGAATCTTAAGGTGGATGAGAAGATCTAATAAATCGTTCACATCCTTCAAGTTGGAGTTGGATATCCTCGACGCTTATGCGAGAGAGCTGAGAGCATCGAAAGGCTACGCCTAGTCGCTCAGAAATATTGCTTACAAGTCGAAGACACCCTCGGTTACCAACCATCTTAAACTAGAGAGACATCTACGGAGTAGATACCATGGCTTCAGCTTTAAAGTTTCCCACACTGTATCAAGATTTCGACCGCAACCCCGCAGGATACCTTGCAACTACAACATACGGCAGAGCTGCCCTTAGCAGACTGAGTGAAGTCAGAGAGCATATTTGCATCCCTGACGGAAGGAAGGTCACATTGCCAGTAAGAGATATACTTGATGATGGAAAGGTCGAAAAGCTCAACGTCTTCAATGATGATGAATTGAGCAATCTTCTCGGTGGAATTCCTGGGACTACAGCCACAGGTGGTAATGCTTCCGCATTGATCCGAACGCCACAATTTCGCTGCCGTTTTGTGTGAGTCTACCTCTTATTTGTAGTGTCTAAGTAGACTTTTCTCGGTGGTATTAGTCTGGGTTTCACTGACTATCAATAGATATTTATGTGCAGAAACCGCACTTGGGCCTTTAGAAGTACATGTCAGAATGTTGCTTCGTCTACTGACTTTCTACCAAGTCATGCCCCAATTCTTGGATTTCCTTTATATATATGCATCGCCACATGGTAGAGACAAAGAGCTTCGTTTTAGCGGGTTCAAAACAGAGACAGTCTTGAGCAACCCGATGTCGGACACTATCATACCAGAGCTGGGGAGGAGCGGCAGAAGATATCAGCTTTGTTTCAATCTCAAGACTGTAGCGCAGAAGAGCAGGGTAGGCTGGAAGATTCGTCAGGCGGCTGTCCATCATCAATTTGACATCGGCCAGGGTTCCCAGATGTGGATTGTAGGAGACCCCCACGCCGTGCTCAAGGAGCGTACAGGAGAAATATTCCCAGAAGGGCACAGCTTCCCAACCAGTTTCAGCACAATGCAGCAAGGATTTGCATCCTCCTTGGACATACATCTCGAATTCGCACAATGGGCAGCCTCTGAGTGGCGATGGCATATTTTGTTCCTTGAGCAGGGCGCGGAAGAATTGGTAAGTTTTGAAAACCTCGACTCCCGACACAGTTTCCCTGCTAATTCCAAAATTTCAGACGAAGCCAGCTCGGGTCAGGGAGAGAGCACACATCGAACACCTAGAGCCGGAATCTCTTAGTGACGTACAGAAGTGGGAAGAAAAGGCCAGTGATGCCGTGATGGCCATGGAGTCCAATGCCAACATCATGAAGTTGCTACAAAAGTTCTATCGGGACTTGCTGAAGGACGAGAACTTTCCAAAGGGAGACCGTCACGTATGCTTGCAACGAGTGAAGAAGTTTGTCTCGCAATTAGAGGAGTTAATCTGCGAAGCAAACATGCAAATATCGAGGACCAAAAATCTCGTGAAGGTAGTAGCAGACCGGAAAACAATTGTAAGAGCCACCTAGCCAGGTTTAAGCATTGAGTTAGACTGACCAGAAACCTATCACAGCTCATCCAACATCTCCAAACACAGAACGCCATCATATCCTCAAAGCTTACTGCAAGTATGTACGAGCAAGCAGACCAAAGTGCCATGGAGGCAATCGCGGTTCGCATTGTAACTATCGTAACTTTGATATACCTTCCAGCAACTTTCTCCAGTGTAAGCCTCCCCTCAAAATCAAGGATTGCGTAATATCACTGACCGTCAGCTAGACATTCTTCAGCACTGATGTAGTCAAATATCAGCAAGGCGAGATCTTCTCGCAAATAGCTTTGGATAGATTTCTCCAAGTCACTCTCCCGCTCATGTTCATGACATTCGTCCCTGCTGGAATATGGTTCTGGATCGAGTGGCGCAGACGAACGAAGAAGTCTCGCCAAACAAAAGTCAACTTCCTTGACTTATTCTCCCAGGAAACTCAAAAGCTACTTCAATAAGTCATTCAATTGCGAGCAGTTATAGAAGGTTCCTACTTCGAGTACAAATTGAGAGTTTGAAATACACAATCGTGGATATAAGATGAAAGTCTACTGGGTTTCTAAGTGGAGGGGTATTGAAGTAGAGGGTTCTAATGAGGCTCATTCGCCCACTGTGTCAAAGCAACAGAGCCATGACTGACGTGCGGGGACTTGGAAGCATTTCCATAGTAATTGCGGAGTACTTGACGCCAACTCTACACGTTCATGGGCATTGCACTAGAAACCGTTGCAATCGGTCATATGCGATTAGACTGAATCATGTGAACCATATACTGGAGATCCGTGTCAGTAAACATTGTACATTCATCTGATCAGACGACTTGTGTCATGGTTGATCTCCACAATCTTCTCCTATCGAACTCCTCTCAATCGAAATGAGATTTGGCTCTGCAGTCATTGTCCCTCGGAGTGGCTGTGCAAGTAAGACTTCAAGTTGTGTTGAGATAGGAGATCGTGTCAAACTGATTTCAAAATAGATGACCTGCTCCAAGACGTAGGTCCAAGCACGCTAACTTAGGTCTACCCGCGGCCATGAGTCCAACAAAGTAGTCTACCGCTGGAAACCAGTGGAGCAACAGAAGGCTGCATATTGACCGAGAATCCGCCAATGCCGCTGATGTGTGGAAAATAGCCTCGCTTTGATGAAAGAAGGTAAACAAGTATTTTCCTAAACATCTCGTACAACCCGTGACGCCTACTAGTTCGCACACACCTCAACAGATCCCTTCCGAGTAGAAAGTCCTGCTATGGCAATGGCAGCTCATTTAGCCAAGACACAGGGCGAGGTCATCCCCGAACGGCCTGTTTTCTGAACCATTCGGCAATACCCTGCCCCTAGTGATCTGAAGAACTTTGACGAAAGAACTCACCAGCTGCGTCAGATTGATGCTGAGTAGGCTTCGTCAGTGGCCAGACAACTTTCAGCTAGGAATCTCGATTGGAGCTATATCGACTCCTAGAATCGAATCTTTGAGTGGCAAGAGGCAGCGACTCCGGAGCCAAGTCTCAGACTGTGCTCTTACCTCGTTCCTTCTCTGTGAGTCTCTCTAGCATATCATATTCAATTCAGTGTTCGGGGACGATAGAGTTTCTTCCAGTCGTTGAATTCAAGCTATCTCATCAATGCTACGCCGATGGGCTTTTCACCAACACGAATGCCTCCCGAGTCCCGAGACTTTCTCTCTATAAATCAATGAACAGGTGGAAATCAAAACAAACAACCGAACAAAGGCCTTCCCCTTATGCCTTGAAGAAGTCGGTAACAGCCTTGGTGAACTGGTCAGGGTCCTGCATGGGCGCAAAGTGGCTGACACCAGTGAGGATGGTGACCTTGCTGCCGGGGATAGCCTTGTTCAGGATACCGGGGACGTCGCGGTTGACAGCCTCCTCGTGCTCAGCGCCGGCAATCATGACCTTGGCACCAGGAATGCTCTTCAGCTGCGCATCGGTGAACTGGGGCAAAGTGCCCTCCATGGTGGCAACCTTGGTCGCGAACTCGGTGAAGTTGGCTCCGGGCTGGAGGGTGCCGTACTCGGTTCTGCAGCGGGCAACCAGAGTAGAGAAGATGGCAGTGTCGCTGAAGGTGGCGTTGGTCTGGTCAGGCTTGGCCGAGGCGCCGAAGATGAAGGCCTTGTTGATAGGCTTAGCCGTGACGGAGTTGATGAGCGCCGCGAGGGTGGTGATACCACCATCAGACCAGCCGACGACGTTGTACGAGGACACGCCGGCGCCGGCGAGGAGGTCGTGGATATCGAGCGCCATCTGGTCGTAGGTGAAGACGTCGTCCTTGTTGTAGGTCGTGCGGCCGTGGCCGCGGCGGTCGACGGCGATGACGTAGTGGCCCGCGGATACGAGGCGGGAGATGACGGAGCCGAAGTAGGCGGAGTAGCCGAGGCCGCCGTGGTCCATGACGATGGGGACGCCGCCGGCCGCCTTGTTGTACTCCTGGAACCACATCTGGATGCCGTTGATGGCCGTCTTGGCCGTGGAGATGGGGGTGGGGAGGTTCGGGGTCGCGGGGAGGGTCTGCCAGATGGGGGTCTGGCGGACGGCGAGGCCGGAGACGGAGCCGGCGACGGCGACGGCGGCCATGAGAGCGTTGTTGAAGTGCATTTTGGCGATTTGTTTTGTTAAATCACAAAGAAAGAATGTGGTGACTGGTTAAAGAAAAAAGAATGTGTGGGAAAAACAAACACGAAAGAGTGAGAGACTCAGTGAGAGACGATGCGATTTGGGAAATCCAAAAGCGAAGCGATTGATGAGGGTGAGGGAGAAAAAAAAAAGAAGAACTCTAGAAACAGCAGAGGAACCATCGTGTAATTAAATACACAATCGCCATTTGGCTTCCTCTCATCTCCCCTAGCTACGGATACCTAGTCGTCTTCTCTTCCCCCGCTTGGCGAACCGAAAGGCTGGAATTGAGTTAATTGCAATTCATCCAGTCGTGGCGGAGCAACACGTCTGAAAATAGGAGGCGTACTGGCGTGGTGCCGGGATCACGACTCACGCAAGTTCGCAAACCCCGGTTTAGAGTTTTTCGCACTTTTCGCCCTCCCCGTAGCCCGCGCCCACAATCGGTGGCCTTTTCGGCCGGCCGTGCCGGGGGAGGGAGAGCCTCATCAAGACATTTCCTACTCGGGGGGCCGCGCGCGGCAAGCGAAAACGAAGAAAAACCTAAAAGCCCATAGTGTACGGAGTTGTATAGTATCGTGAGATGGCTAGGCGAGTCGGCGACTAAGTCGGCTAAGCGGCAGCTCTCTCAAATGAACACGGACGACTCCGTAAAAGGTGTCAAAATGCCAACTACCTATGCGTCCGCATTTTCCACAGAGGCAAATGGGGGCCGTCCAACTCGTTAACTCCCCCCGTGAGGTAGTTCGGACAAAACGGACTGTTCCAGCTGTAAGGCTCCTCGTACGCACACAGCACTCGGGAGGACCCGACTGGTTCATCACTTTGACACATGGGATGGCAGGGGTGTCCTGCACAGATCACGTCTGGAGTTGATGGGGGGCGATGGCTATACCGCAATGCGTTATTCAAGTCAGTCCACTCAGACTCTCACGAGCCTCAACGTCGTATCCTTCCAAGCCTTATGGGGCCTCAAGACTAAAGCCGCGAGCCGATACAACCGTCTCTTGCTCAGCCAAGCCCTAACCTTCGTAGATACTCTGCAAGCATGAGACCTGGTTTAATCACCATCACAATCGCAAGCTTTCTATAACCCGAGACCGAGGTCGACAGTTTTTCAACTCGTGGAATTTGAACATTTCATCTCAAACGTACTCTAAAGCCCGAGCCACAGCAGGGACAATAGAAGCTTTTATAGTATGATACCGGACAAACAACAACCAGAAAACAAAATGCAGAAAAACTACCAACTCCTTACTGATGAATCCCCTGCGCCGGGCCATGCTCAACAATCTTCCCCTTGTCCAAGCGGATAAAGTAGTTTGCATCCTGAACAGCCTCAAGCCGGTGCGCAATCGTGATGACGGTGCTCGTAGTCAACTCATTCCTCAGCACCTCCTGCACCCTAGCCGCCGTCTCCTTATCAATCGACGCGGTAGCCTCGTCCAACACCACAATAGGACTCCTACGGAGGACGGCCCGGCCAATCCCGATGAGTTGTCGCTGTCCCTGGCTCAGGTTCTTCCCGCCGCCCTCGACGTGGGAGTATAGGTCCCACCCGGCGCCGAGGACCCGGTGGAGGACGACGACGCACTCGGTGTCGGTGTACTGGTGTAGCGGGTCGAGGTTGTCCCGCAGCGTGCCGGGGAAAAGCACGGGGTCTTGCGCGACAAAGCTGACGCGCTGCCGCCAAACGTGGACGTCCACGTCCGACAGCTTGTAGTTTCCGACGCGGATGGCGCCTTCGGAAGGGTGGATTGTCGCGAGGAGGGCGAGGGCCAGGGTGGACTTACCAGACCCCGTCCTGCCGAGCACCGCGCACGTGGAACCCCCGGGGATGGTGAAGGAGGCTTCCGAGATGGAGGGGTCAAGGTGAGGTGCGTACCGCAAAGTAACATTGTCAAAGATGACGTCGTCCGAGTGGTGAGGCCAGCTGGTGGGTGGCGTCAGTTCGCCGCAAGGCTCCTCGGGGATGTCCAGAAGCTCAATCACACGCTCGACTGATACAAAGTCCATCTGTAGGGTACCGTACTGCTTGCAGAGGTTATGAGTTGCCTCGACAAATGCGGACGCAGTCGTCAAGACGAAGGCGGTCAGACCGGGTGAGAGGCCCTTGTACAGCGCGAGCAGAGTGAGCGCAAAGGTACAGATGGCGGAGAGGGCGTCGAATCTGTACATGAGCCAGGCTTGTAGACTCCAGTAGAAGTGATCCATCTTCTGGAATGCATCCGTGACGACAATGTTCATGTTCTGGAAGTGGTGCTGTGCCTTGAAGGCGCGGATGGTTGCCAGCCCGTCGAGCAAGATACCAAAGTTGGACATGAGAGGGCTGAGGGAGACCATTTCCAGCCTTCGCAGACTTTGGGAAGTGGGCAGGAATCGCATAAAGATGTAGACAAACCAGAGCGTCATACCGACCGAGAAGAGGAGGAAGAGCGGTGTGACGGAGGCGATGACGACCATGCTTGAGAACCAGGTGATGGACTGGACGGCAACTTCGCGTAGCGGTCTCATGATGCCGCCATCGATCATTCCAATGTCAGAGACGAGGCGGTTCATCAAGCGTCCCACTGGAGTAACGTCGTAGAAGCGGAAGGTTGCACGGCCGACTTTGTTGATGACTCTCTTGAAGAGATCCCTTGCCGCGGTGATGATCATGAGCAAGGTGAGTCCTTCAGACAACGTGTAAATCACAGCCTGAGTGACCGCGATTCCGAGATACACCCACAGCCAGGGCCTCAAATCGGTGTCTGGATCCGGGAGTCCTGCAAAAAGCTTGGAAAAGTCGATACCATCGGTCGCCCCCTTGGTCGATGTCTCGTGCTTGTACGCTTCACCCCAAGCTTTGAGGAACCAGTAGTTGAGGAGACTGCCCAGTCTGAACAACGCGAAGACCAAAACCAACACAGCCCACCACTTGAGCTTACCAGCCTTGATGTAGGTCCAGTAAACCGATAACATGACGCCGCCGTGGGCGCGGTGCTCCTCTTCGATAAACTTGGACGGTATGGCGGCATCTTGCTGGCTTTCATCGAGGGTATGCTCGTGCTCGTCCTGGTGAGCCGCCGGATCCTCGTCTTCCAAGAGGAACTTGGCGACTTCCGCCGATGCCTCCTCCGAGTTCAGGACGCGAGCGGTGCCGTCGACGACTTCGACCATTTGGCCAGCGAGATGAAGACACAAATCTACTCTGTGAGTGACGAGGACCACAGTCCGGCCTTCCACCAGCGGGCCCTGAAGGAGCTTCTTCACGATGGATTCAGCCGTGTTGTGGTCCAGGGCAGCGAGAGGGTCGTCCAGCAACAGCACGCGAGACTGGCTGTACACGGCGCGGGCCAATGCCACCCGCGCCCTTTGTCCGCCCGACAGACCGATTCCGTTCTCGCCCATGTCGGACAGGTCTCCATGTTTGAAAGTAGCCAGGTCGGGAAGCAGGGCGCACGCATCAAGAGTCTGGGTGTATCTCGCAGAGTCAAAGGGTGCTGAAAACAGGATGTTGTCGCGGATGCTCATGTGTTGGAGCCACGGGCTTTGAGCACAATATCCAATGGGCTCAGTTGGGATGACGACGTCGCCCAATTGCCGGTCAAGTTCTCCAAGAATCGCCTGCAGTAACGCGGTCTTGCCAGAGCCGACTTTGCCAAAGATGACTGTGAGGCCCTGCGGGAAGCTGATATTGAGGTTTCTGAGCACGGGTTGCTCGTACCCAGGCCATGCAAATGTTGCCTTTGTAAACTTGATATCGTTCGTGAGGTGGTCCGAGAACACGCCATCCTTGTCGGGCTCGCCCATGAACTCCTCAATACGGCCCATGGCGATAGATGCATTGAGAACAACCGTGATAAGCCCCGGCAATTCCTTGAAGCTAGTCTCCAACAGAGTGAAGAGAGATAGAGCGGGGAAGGCCACATCGACGGATAGAGTCTTTCCGGCAATGAACGTATAGGCGAAGAAGGTCGCAACCGGGAACAGCGTGCCAGAGGTGATGTTGAGTGTGGAAATCGCGATACTCCACAATCCAGTCACGACTCTCGTCCTCAGTTCATGTCGTCGAGTGACCATGATAGCGTCCAGCCACTTTGACTGCCAGTCGTACCATCGTAAGTGCCTTATTCCTTCGACGAACTGGGACGTAGACTGCAGCCGAGCATCCGTGGCAGCCCTGCGCACGCGCTCCTTCTTGAGAAGCTGGGTGATGAAGACGGTGTTGAGCATTTGAGCAAGCAAGACGCAGAGCATGCCAAACATGCACGACCAGCCAAGGAGTTGCCAGACTAGGAAGAAGGAGAAGATGAACTGGAGCGGTTTCACGACCAGGGCCGGGAACTCCCAGAAGCGTTGGGCAACCTCGTAGACGTCATTTCTCATCAGATTGAGAATCTTTCCAGTGGTGGCAGGCTGCCTTGATGGCTTTTGATTCTGCACCCGGCGGTACTTTTGATTTGTTGATCGCCCGCGCTTAAACCAACCGAGCAGCTTCCCGAAACGGCTGGTGGGCTCGCTGCCGCTCTCATTGTCATCGGTAGCAACTTCTGTGTCTTCATCGTCGTCATCACTCTCATCATTTGCGTCTTCCTGGGGTCCTTCCAACATCTTCTCAGCAGCCGGCTGACCAAAGTGTTTCCGTGACAAGGTCTTGGCGTAAAGTGTGGTAATCATCTCTCCGCGAGACCGCTCATAGCAACGTCTCGAGAACCAGAGTTGAAAAACGGCAGCCTGGCAGGCGATAAGACGAACAGCCAAAATGCCAATGGCGTACAGAATGGACACCTCGATGTTCTTGGATCCGCTCTGGATGGCTCGCAGGAGCTGCTGCAGCAACATGGGGACGGAGAGCGCAGCAGCACATTCAACAATTCCAAGGAACGACTGAATGATCAAGTCCAGGCCGTTTGCCGAGAACAGCTTGGCAGTCATAGACCCACGGAGCTCGTGAAACAGCCCGTGGAGGCGCTCGTGCTGGAAATCGAACGGCAGCTGCCACACGTCCTCGTTGTGCAGCTGCTTCTCGTAGCCCTTTGAGATCATGGGCGCCATCCACGACACGGTCATGAATCTCCACAAAGAGAGGTTGTCTTCGGGGCTGCGGAGCTGGTCGGTGGGTTCGGCGCGCGCAATGTCAGAGTCGCCGAGCGATGGGTCCCGCATCGGCATCGCTACAATACCAACGATGCCGGCCATGCTGATGACCGGGTCCGCTAGGATGAGCGTATGGACTACTCTGTGGAGTCTGTAACTGAATGCCGTCGAGACAATGCCACAAGACAGGATTGTAAGGTAGAGAAACAACAGCGTCTTGGGCGTCTTGGTAGGCCGGTCCATGGCGGTGATTAGAGCGGCAACAATCCAGGGCACCAAGTCTAGTAAGTCAAAAACGCGGCGTGGTTGCGCGAGAGTAGATGACACGCCCTGAACCAGCCCAGCCAGCGCAACTGCGAAGAGGTAGACCGTCCAAAAAGTCCAGGCCTTTTTCAGAGATGGATGTGTCGTATCCCCGTAAGAAGACTCCTGGGCGAAGCCAGAGCACCACGCGGGTCTCCTGCGAAGAAGCGGCCTCAGGAGAACGAGGAACAGCAGCACTACCGCGACCGAGGCGCGGACAATATTGGTGATATCCATGACTCTGGAAGCATTGAAAATTTGGGCCGTAGTTAGGGTCTTCGCTGTCGTCGTGTTCTCTGCTCGGAACTTCGCGTGTGATGGAGAGTGAAGGTGAGACGGGCCGGCGAGGACATCTTGGAAGGCGACATAGCTATAGTACGGCAAACCTCCAGACGGCAGCCCGCCGCCGCCGTCCAGGTCTACAAAGCTACTCATCTTTCTGATAAAAGTTTGGCAGCGATTGCCGCCGTCTGAGAAGTGTGGAACCCGGAGCGTGGTTGCGATACCATCAAGCTCCCAAACCGCGGGGCGGGGTGGAGGTTATGTCTTACTGCGTAGGTTGTACGGCGGGGGGAAGGCACAGATAACGGAGTGAGGTTGGAAAATCGGGTACTAGTACCGGAACTCACCGCTCCAAAGGGTTCTCACGGTTTCAATTCGTCAATTGGGCAATGTAACGAAGCGTCAATTGGTTAATGTAACGAAGGATCGGGCGCAAGAAAGTGGTAGCCTTGTCAATCTTATTCCCGAAATCATGCCTGCACCTGACTGCTCACGTGTCATCTTCGGATAAGCGCTGCATTGTGTCGCGAAACATGGGAAAGAAACCATCGACCGCATTCAGATGCTTGGTGATCAGAATTGGGCGGTAAATGCGCTGCGTAAGGTATGACAATGAAGCCTGTTCGCGACCAAGTCCTTCAAGGTCTGTTTCTGGACAAAGGGGTAAAGAAACGGCGAATCGGAGGGGCTTGGCGGCCGCAGTGCCGTTTCCCCCTGGCACCGTCTGCCATCCGGGGCGGAATATGACATCTCACGTGATCTTCGGATCACTTAGGTAAGCATGTCTCTCGACCTTGTGAGACGACCGGATGACATAATGAGGTACGTTCCATATTTTCAGAGATGTGGGGCCGCCGACTCTTGCTTCCGAACGGGAACCGGAACCCAGGTACCGGCCTCCGGCCACGAAATTGATCCGGTTTGCCACCCGGCACTTGTTCCCCAGGCCCCGACCCGTCTAGGCGGTGCAATCTGAGACGAATGTCGGTTCGTCCCAGCGTGTTTCCCATACGAGACGGCCCCACAATGCGAACACGAACCCGACCATCCATGCATTGACACCCGTCAACCACACCTATCGTCGACCCCATCCACCCCTGCCCCCCGCGCCAAAACCACCATCGATCTGCATTGCCAAACATCGCGGCTGCTAGGCATATCCTACGCGAGTGTTCCCGTCCACCAAGCTCCATCGGTGTGGAGCCTTGGCACCGTAGTCTCTAATCAGAGAAGCAAGAATTACGCTTATGCGGGAGGTGATCTTAGCATACGACTCGTCTCCCTCCCTAAGCGTCATAGTCGCGCTGGACCCCGAGCCAGGGGCTAGGCTAGCTAGCGATGGAGGAGCAACAATATGGCCTACTTACCGGTTTCCTATGCGAACCCATACGCACCGTTGCACCGTCGTGTGCGGAGGTGCGTAGGTGTGTGGTCGACGATGAGACGACTACATAAAGACTAGACACCCTTCAATAGAATCCAAGTTCGAAGTTCGTCCGTACTCAGGCCCTCCCACCCAGTCTCCCTCCCACCACCTACCTACTCGTGACTCGAAAGGACCACCCTCGCTACACAAAACATGGCAAACGCAACCGACTCCGTCGCCGCTGCGGGCACCGTGTTCGACCCTCAACACTGGCCAGCAGCGACAGCCGGCCTCGTCTTCATCATCTTCGCCCTTCTCGCGCAGAGCTGGTTCAAGGTCGACCCCGTGGCCCACGTTCCCGTTGTGGGACAGGGCGGAAAATGGGCGCGCAGGAAAGCGTACCTGGCGGGCAAGGGGCCGCAGATGTACGCGGACGGGTATAAGCAGTTCAAGGACAGCATTTTCCGCATCACAACATCCAAGAGTGAGTTTTGCAGGAACCGGTCAAGATTTTTGTTAACAACGGACTCGCGCTGACTTACACGCCTTTAGAGAAGGATACCATTTGCGTGCCTCCCAAGTATCTCCCCGAGTTGAAGAAGGTCCCCGACGATGTCATCAGCTTCACCAAGGCCATTGACGAGGTACCGAAGAGCCCACTCCCAGATCTTACAATACTCCAGAAAGCTAACTTGCCCAAAGTCTATGCAAGTCAAATACACCCAAATCTCAAACGACATGCCCATCATCATCCACGCCGTCAGAGCCTCTCTAACCCCAGCTCTACGTTCGTAAACCCCCTAATTCACCCACTACCAAGGACCTTCTCCCCACAACTAACCACCCCCCCTCAAAAACAGCCCGCCTCAACGAAGGCATCTCAGACGAAGTCATCGACTCAATGCGCCTCGAACTCCCCCAATCCCCCGCCTGGACCGAGATCAACATCAACGCCAAACTCCTCCGCATCATCGCAATGGTCTCGGGCCGCGTCTTCATCGGCTCCGAGCTCTGCCGCGACGAACGCTACCTCGACGCCTCCATCTCCTACACCGTAGACCTCATGACCGCAGTCCACGTCATCGCCTTCGTCCCCTCCTTCCTCCGCCCCCTCGTCGCCTCCTGGCTGCCCACCACCAAGAAGCTCTACAAGCGCATCGCCGACGCCGAGGCCGTCTTCCGCCCCATCGTCACGGCCCGCAAGGAAGCGGCCAAGAGGGACGACTACCGCGAGCCGGACGACATGCTGCAGTGGCTCCTCAACGCGCAGCCCAAGTTTGGCGCGCTGAGCGATCGCGAGATGGCGATGGCGCAGCTGGGGGTCAGCTTTGCTGCGATTCACACGACGTCCATGACGACGCTGAATGCGATTTACTGGCTCGCGGCGAAGCCTGAGATCAATGAGTTGCTCCGGGACGATATTCAGGCGGCGCTCGCTGAGTCTGGTGGGAACTTTACGAGCGGTGCGCTGCAGAACATGAAGAAGCTGGATAGTTTCCTGAAGGAGGTGATGCGCGTCAACCCGATCTCAGCAGGTATGTTTTAACGTTATCGCACCTCGAGAAACCATACACTTGGTTGTTTTCTTCCGGTCTCTCAAAACTAACACGTTCCCCCTTTTCCACTATCAGCATCCTTCACCCGCAAAGTCCTCAAAAACGTAACCCTCCCCAACGGCCAAACCATCCCCGAAGGAATGTTCATCGAGGTCCCCGCAGGCGGCATGAACAACGACCCGGAAATCTTCCCGGACCCAGAGGTGTTCGACCCCCTACGCTTCTACAAGCTCCGCGAGGCAAAAGAGCTCGCCACCTCGGGCACCAAGGCGGCAGAGGTCGTCATGCAGGCCCAGTTCGTCAGCGTCGGCACCACGCACCTGACGTTCGGCTACGGCAAACACGCGTGCCCGGGGCGGTTCTTCGCGGTGAACGAGATTAAGATGATTATGGCGAATATCATTTGCAATTACGAGATCAAGTTGCCCGAGGGCGTGACGGAGAGATATGAGAATTTGGCTTTTGGCGCTTCCGTAAGTTTCTCTTGTTTCCCCCATTTATTTTTTTTGCCAAAATCCCCTCTAGGGGACACGACTGTTCTGTCAAGTGGAATAAGCGAAGCTGACGTGGACTGCTAGACTGTTCCGGATCCGAAAAAGACAATCATGATCAGGAAGCTGTAAGTGGAAATCATGGAAGCGAAAGTTGTGGTACGGATACGGATACGAGATTTGAGGGGAATGAACTTCTTACAACAATGCGTTGCTTTCACACGAGAAGAGTGCGGAGTAACGAGCGATTTACTTTGAGGCCATGGGCCACCCTGACCGCGTCCTCGAGACTCCTTGGCAGAAGGGCCATCTGGAAATTGGCAGCATCCAATGTACATGGTGCCAATGATCTTTATGATGCTTCTGTATTTATTTCATCTTTTGGTATTCATCTTCATGGATTTGTTATAGACGAGATAGTAGCGACGGGGGTATCAATTCAAACTTCCATATCGTCAACGTCAATCCTCTCAAAGACGCTGCGCTTCGGCCACTCGATCCACGGCTTCCACTCATCCTCCAACGTCCTCTCAATCAAGCGCATCACCGCGCCGCTCCACCCGTCGCAAAGCCAGTCGGCCTTCTCACACGGCTTTGCCAGCGCGGCATAGTGCGCCAGGATGACGAGCGCCGTAGGATGCCCGCTGGCCACCATGTCGATAAACATGGCGGGCAGGGTCGCCGACCACCCCCACACCCCGCCGGGCTTCTCCCCCTCGCCCCTGCTCATCTGGTGCGCCCTCCGCAGGCCCTCCAGCGCCAGCACGCAGACGGACTGCGGGTTGATGACGTCGGTGAAGGACGCGGGCACCTCTCTCGCCAGCGAGGTGATGGCGTCGAGGCGCTTCTGGAAGGCCGACGTCGACACCCAACCGCCCTGCGTTAGTACGGGTGGGCGCAGCAGGCCGTCGAGGGGACCCCCGCGCTGCCTCCAGGCTTCGATGGGCTGGAAGTCGAGGATGCCCTTTACGCCGTGGAGGAGAGAGAAGGATTGCGAGACGTCGCTGAGGGCGATGGACCTGCCGAAGCTCTCGCTATGTGCGACGGAGCAGATGCTGACGATGAAGATGAGTGTTGCCAGGAAGAAGTAGGCCTCGCAGTTGTCCTTGTTGATGTCGTTTAAACGGAGGGCGAAGAAGCGCAGGGCTTCATTCTGGTGGTTCACCGAGATGATGTCGTACTTTTTCCGCTGTTGCGGGTGGACATGGGCGTAATGGAGGGCGGATAAGGCCAACAGGCCGTGCATTAGGAATTTCTGTGGTCTTGTTAGACGAATTGGTTCGCAAATCCCTCCTCGTTCCATTCCATCCATACTACGTCCTCATGATAGTAAAAGGGGTGTGTGGAAAGGAAGCCCAGTTGGCCCGTCGGGGTAAGGTTCTGACATACGTGAGAACAAGCCATCTCGGGTATAGCCGTCTTCCAGAGCTCTTCGGTACAGGCATCTTTTGGCAGGACATGCCGGGTACTGGTGCTGTAGTGGTGCATCAGGCGTAAACTCTGTAGCCAATCCTCCGAGAGATCCCAGGGATCCGTGGCGGGGTTGCGAGGGTCCGGCGCCGCTTCACCCCCGGGATAGGGAGAAGTGCTGCTCACTGAGGAGACGAGGTTAATCTTTTAGTCCGAGGAGATTGATGCCAAGGATCTGTGATGTGAGATTGGGTTCTGATCATATCATACCTGCAGTGTTGGGTGTGAGACCGGCCTCACTCGCCGCTTCTTGCATGCCATGACTTGACAGCTTCGAAGATGAATTTGACGAGGTCGTCACCGCCGGCGCGGCCTGCTGAATAGGCGCGTATCGCTGTTCATGCTGGGCAAGCTTGGCTGCGGCGGGTGGCGTGAGAGGGGCCGTTACCGATGCGGGACGATCGAGGAGACTGCAGTGTACCCCATGGGCAACACACTTCTGACACGGCCGTTCCTCATCACACTACACGAGACACACACACAAATAAGACATGAGTTTTTGGCTAATGCGTAGAGCGATAACAGAGTCATGTTGAACACACACACACACACCAGAGGGACCTTATCGTACCTTGACGCGACGTGCTTTACAGCGCTGGCATCCGTTCCTCGATTTCTTGTGCCCGAGGCGCCGTGTACGCTTCTCCATGTCCGGCCCGCGCGATATTGTCGGCACGGGGCAAGGGTGGACAAGGGTTGTGTTCAGGTTTACCGTTGGTTGGATTCTCGTGGTGGAGTGACAGAGTCACCGTGGATTCCGTGGGAGTGGAAGTCCAGTGTTGAAGCGGGTTCGGATTCGTAAGAAAGGGCGAGGGGCAGGTGAAATGTTGGAAAAGGGTTAGGACTCGGGAGAGAAATGAGGGAGGACAATGAAAAGGAAAAGAGAATGCGAACGGCCAGAGTGTACTGGGCTACGAACTTTGTTGTCCAATAAGGGCCGGTACATGCCGAATACGGGGAGATTTCGTAAGTCAATTACGAGGGCCCCCGTCGAGGTAAACGAGGAACCTGACAAAGCAACCCACCTCATCTCAAGCTTTCAGAGTGACAGAGACACCTGCCGGGGAATCTCTTGCAGATCAAACCGCTAGTCGTCACGCTAAGACTGTGGGGGAACCGCGGGTGGAACCGCTGAAGCGGCGGGAGATACGAATGCGGTCTCACTAATGCGAATCCGAGGCTTCCTCCACGAGTGCCGCGCTGCCGTACTGCCGCGGAGGTTTAATACACTCAAAGACTCAAACGCAATCTGAATATTTTGCTATAAGGCTGATAGCCCCGGGCATTTGCTGACTCTTCCAAGAACCTGAATGTAACTCGGCCTGAATCGTTGCAAAACTCTCTTTTGCAGCTATATGAAAGCCGCGTACCTTATCTCCACGAGGCCAGCAACCCACGTTCAACACCATGCGCACTACATACAGCCCGACAAAACCTTTCTACGGGGGAGATTCGAACTCGAGACCTTCAAAAATGAAAAGCACCGGGGTCAATTACCTAGCGACGAGGTCGGGAGTGGGCAGTCCCAACTATTGCGCCAAGGCATCTCCTCATCCGATGGTGACAGATGAAGCAATCAGCCATCCTATATACCGTACCCAGCCGGTGACTGTACGGGGCAGTTGACTGTATGGCTCCTTCCCAATCAATCATCAGTTCTTTCCCACTGCACATCGGGACGTGTTCACGCCTCGACAGGTAATGTTATGCTGAAGTCTCATAGTTTAGGTCATTGTGACGCCGATGGTGCTCATCCTGATGCCTCTGTGATATTGAATACCTATAAGACGGTCATCTTCGCCGCGGCAATCGCTCACGAAAGCCATCTTTGTGCCCTCAAGTACAAAGAGACAGTTGAATTGGGGTCTCTGAGCAAGCCCTATATCTTCTCTCAGACTAAGGCACTAAGCAATCCGCATCTCTCTCCTTCTTTCTTTCTTCTTCCTTCACACGTGATCCCTTGACCCCAGACTCTGCGTACTAGCACGTGCTCGCATCAACGTATCCGTGAGCGAATACGTTGATTACTAGGTAGGCTGGGGATTGCTGGACGACCGTTCAGGACTTGTACTTTCACGGACAAATGATATTTAGCAAAAGACTCATATACCGTTGTCAGCCAACCGAGCCCCTAGCAGCGCGATTCTCGTGTACTTCCACCCTGCCTAAGCCGCACTCCGCAGTTGAGGAGGCATGCGGTTGATTTGAAAGACTCTACACACCCTGGGATCTTTCTTATATAGCCCCTATCGCCAGGTCGCTCGGTATTGACTATGAGATGAAGCGACTTTGAAAGTGACACCTAATGTTCATATGGTTCAGTAGAGCTTTTAGTCAAGAGATTCAAATCGATGTACGGTACTCTACTTAGTTAAGTACGGCTTAGGTAGTAGTATACAACTCATAAAGCAGCAACTAAAGCATTCTGATCAACAGCACTGTATGTCTTCAAAACCAGAATCGCTCATATTTGCTAAAATGTATCCCTTAATCAACCAATATTTCAACTCCCATCCATCTACACAAACACTCCATCACCAATCCGGCGCACTCCCACACCCCCCACCACCACCAACAACCATCGCCCTCGCCTTCTCCATCCCCAAAGCCCCCATCGGCTTGACACCAGGCCTCTTGGCCCGGTGCCCCTTGAACCGAATCTTCTTATCCAGCGCCTCGAACGGCGCCGCCCCGGCCTCCCCCTTCTTCACCATCCACTTCTTCGTCCCCAGCGCCGCGTCGAGCTCCTCCACGGGTGGCAGTTTGATGTACACCATCCCGTCGCCAGCACGCTCCTCCACCGCGAACGTCGCGATGCTCACCTCGTCGTCGTTCTTGCAGCTCCCGTCCGCCAGGTCAAAGTTGCGCTTGTGGTACGGGCACGAGACCCACGGCGCCGGCCGCTTTGCCTCATTAGTACCGTTGGTACCGGGGCCGCCGTTACACCCGGAGTCAGGCTTCTTCGCATCATCGCACTTATCCCCATCTGCAGCGCCGGGTTCCTCGCCGATGAGCCCGTCTGACAGCACAAACTGCCTCTTGTGAGGACACATTTGCTGCGTAGCATAGTACCGGCCTCGCACACGCCATACGGCAAGCTGCGTATCGCCGCGCTTCACCGTGGCCGAGATACCATTGGGTGTCTCGTCCGCGCCGAAAAAGTGACTCGCCGGCAACATGGGCTGCCAAGTTGTACTGCTCCACCTCTCCTTCAACCCCTTGAAGTCCTCCTTTGCGGAGTCGGGCGCCCAGTATACCGGCCTTGGCTGGTCGCGGTCGAGCTCGACCTCCATGTTCTCGACCGTCTCCTCCGTGTTGTCAAACTGCTTGAATTTCGCGGCAATGGCCGGGTTCTTGATGGCCTCGGCCCACTCGTCAAAGAAGCTGTCGACGAGCTCCTGCATCTGGGCCTCGAGCGAGGCGCAGATACCGAGCTTGTCCTCCAGAACGACTTGCTGGAGGTACTTGATGCCGCCGGGGAGGTTCTCGAGCCAGCGCGCCGTGCGCTGGAGCCTGTCGGCGGTGCGGATGTAGAACATGAGGTACCGGTCGATGATGGGGATGACCTCGGTGGGCGGGACGTCCTTGGCTAGCAGCTCAGAGTGCTTCGGCTTGGCGCCGCCGTTGCCGGCCACGAAGATGTTGAAGCCCTTGTCTGTGGCGATGAGGCCGAAGCTGGAAGAGAATTAGTGATTCTGCTTGATTCAAGGGTAGTGTCAACATACTCTTTGTTTTGCGCTTCGGCACACTCGCGGACGCATCCGCTGACGCCGCCCTTGATCTTATGCGGCGCGCGAATGCTTTTGTACCGCTCCTCCAACCGCACCGCCATGCCCACGCTGTCGCCGACGCCGTATCGGCACCACGTCGTGCCAACGCAGCTCTTAACCGTCCGTAGTGACTTTGCGTACGCATGCCCAGACTCCATACCGGCCTCGACCAGCATCCGCCAGATATCCAAGAGGTCCTGCTTCTTGGCACCAAACATGTCGATGCGCTGCCCACCAGTGATTTTCGTGTATAGCTTGTACTTGGACGCCACGTTACCAATGGCAATGAGTTTGTCGGGCGTTATCTCGCCCGCAGACACGCGCGGGACCACACTGTACGTGCCGTTGCGCTGGATGTTGCCGAGGAAGCGGTCGTTAGTCTCCTGGAGACCGTGCATGGGCTTGTCCATGACGTGACGATTCCATAATGAGGCAAAGATGCTGCCCATGGTAGGCTTGCACGCCTCGCAGCCGAGCGAGGTCCGGTCGTTGCCGGCCTCGCGCATGACGTCTTCAAAAGTCTGTAGCTTCTTGACGAGGATGATGTTGTACAGGTCGGCGCGGGAGTAGTTGAAGTGGGCGCACAGGTAGTTCTTGACCTCGTTACCCATGGACAACATGGTTCTGTTAAAGATTGTCGTCACGAGGGGCATGCAGCCGCCGCAGCCTGTACCAGCTTTGGTGCACGCCTTGACTTCGCCGAGCGTCTTGCAGGTACCGTCCTTGACGTTATTGACCACGTCGCCTTTGGTCACGTTGTGGCATGAGCAGATCTGTGTGTCATCTGTCAAGTCGTCGCCGTCGTCTTCGCCCTCCTTTTTGGCACCGAGGATGAGCTGGCTGGGCGGCATGTCCAGCTCCTTCATGTTCTTGACCATTGGTACCAGCTTGATGTAGTCTTTTGTATCGCCAATCATCATGCCACCCAGAAGGTACTTGCCGTCCTCGGTGAAGATGTACTTTTTGTACACATTTTGGAACGGATCGCGATATGTGAGTGCCTTGACAGGGGCCGGTGGTAGGCCGTTTGTCAAGGTCTTGATAGTGCTTTGCTCGTCTTCCTTTTTCGCCTTCCTTGCCACCTTTGGAGGCAAATATTGCGGGCCGTCTCGGTCGGCGAAGAAGTCGCCAAAGCTAGCAACATCAACACCCAAAAGCTTCAATTTTGTGCTGAGGTCAGGTCTCTTGAATAACCTGGGCTGGTGCAGCTTGGCTTGTGTGAGATTGAACGAAAGGACGTCTGCCATTTCGACTCCGGGAGCAATGAGACCGAAGGTCTGACTTTGCCAGCTTGCACACTCCCCAATAGCGTAGATATCTGGTGCGCTGGTGCTCAAGTCGTCTCCAACAACGATGCCGCCACCACGGTCAGCGCATTTGATGCCTGCTCTCCGCGCTAGATCGTCTCGTGGCCGGACACCAATGGCAAAACATATCGTGGAGCAGTCCATACGCTCGCCGTCCTCGAAGACGACGCCCTGGACGTGGTTGTCGCTCGTCACCTCAATCTTGCCCACGCGCTTGCTGAGAAGCACGTCGAGGCCGAGGTCCCTGACCTGATCCACGACCATGGATCCCGCGTCGTTGTCTAGTTGCCGGCTCAGCACCCACCGATTCCTCTCAATCAGTTTCACCTTGTCGAAGCAGTCCAAGTCCATCATCGCCTTGGCCGCCTCCAAGCCGAGGAGACCACCACCGACAACCGCTCCCACCGTGCCTTTCCTTTGGGCGGCGAAGGCGATGAGGTTGATGAGGTCGTCAATCGTCCGGTAAACGAATACGCCTGTTGCGTCGTGCCCGGGTGTGTGTTTGGGAAGAACGGCATCTGAGCCGGTGGCGATGACTAGAATGTCGTACGGTACGATCTCTCCATTCGAACAGGTCACCTTTTTGGCTTGAGAGTCAATATCAGTGACTCTGGTGTTGACGTGATACCCGAAAGAGCCCTGAGGCGTGCTGTGGTACTGGTCAAGGAATCAGCAAAGAGTAGCGAGTCGACGAATGGGTGCATGCACATACCCATTCTTCTGGGTTGAGGTAGAGATTCTCGACTTTTCGGTGGTCAAAGAAGCTTGTTAAGCCAACGCGGTTATATGCAAGGTGAGGTTCCTCTCCGAGCACTGTGATGCTATACTCGTTTGCGCGGGCGTCCAACTTGAGCATCTTCTCACTTGGGACAGTTAGTCAGTCGAGTCACACCAATTGATGTCTCGCAGGACTCACATGAAGGCGATGCCGACCATTCCCAGGCCGACAACAACGAGTCTCTTTCGTTCCGCCATGTTGAAAATGCAAATCACCAACGAGACGCGATAAGCAGGAAGGGTACACTCAGAGAGCGAAGGAGAATCAAAAAGAGAAGCCGAGGAAACGATAGGATTTCCTACAAGATCTAATATCGGAGGTCTTCGGGTTCATTAGGCCATGATAAAAGACGCATCGTTCTCCCTCGGCGCACAATGAAGTCAGTGCAAGCTTGATCCGCTGGGATCAGCATCTCCGGCGAGACGGATGACCAGCCAGAGGTGCCCAAGAGCGACGAGCGCTGATTGGCCGCAGGGCTGAGACGATGACATCTGATTGAGCATCTCCACGGTTTGCATTGAAGAGAGTTTGGGGTCAAAGTACTTTGTGGTGGCACGGGTAGGTATTACCATTGAGCAATTGTACGCTCTTGAAGTCGAGTGACATGATAACGAGGTGGGAGACCATCGGATGATAAGAGCGAAACAGGCCAATCAGAAGTCCGTTGACTGGACCCACAACGGGCGGCTCTCGTTGCGCCGCGGAGAAAGAGACATCACCCTCCCACCTGCTATGCGTTGATAGTCTCCCGAAACCACAAACCGCGTGGGGAGACTTGTTTTGAGTCTCCTAGGAGAAAGAGAAACGAGGTTCCGCTGACTTTTGTGTGCGGCAGATAAGCTCGGTCTTATTTGATTTGAGCCAGGCCTGATTGGACAACCCTCTGAGGCAACACGCTTACGATATTCATAGACGGAGATGCTGCACTTGCTCTCCTGGCATTACAAGACCCACTTAAGCTGAGATACTAAGACCGGCACACCGGGCACCTTACAATTGCAATTGTAGGGTAAGGTAAGGAAGCACGGAAGGTACTTAACTTCCACCTTCTCACGTGCCCCTCCAAGGTAGACTACCTACCTAGGTAGGTACAGTCGCAACTGTGATATCAAGCTCCCCTGCCTTACAGTCGCGACTGTAAGACCCAACCAACCTCAGGTGAGGCAGCTTACAGTCGCGACTGTAAGGTCCGACCCCTCCAGGTCAGGGTCGCAATTATAAGATCCAGCTCCTCCGAGGTAGACTACAGCCGCAACGGTACTATACAGTTCCTCTAGGTTAGGGTCACAATTGCAAAGCCTGGCTTCTATAGCTTACAGTCGCGACTGTAAGATACAGCCACCCGAGCTTACGGTTGGAACTTTGCCGTCCGACTCCTTCCGCATCGCGTCGGCTGTGGTAGGAATAAGTCAAAGTTGTCTGAGATATATGTGGACGAGCCTTATTGGAGCAGACATGATGATCCGATTCAATTTGTAGCACAACTCAAATCGCAACAGCCCGCCTCACGCCGGCCAGCCATCGCTCACCTATCGCCTACAGCCACAAATCTCATGGTCTGAACAAGTGATATGCATGGATCATGCCGCCCATCCGATGCGGTCTTTTGAAATGGTCCATTCGCCCCGTCACAGCCAATTCTAGGTAAAGGGGGTATCACCAGTGCCCATTATTATACATTTACTTTTACACACCCACCTTCTTCATACACGCGTGTAGACAAATCTCACGCCGCCCGCCTCACACCGAAAAAGTAGTTTCCAACCTTCTCGCTGCCCTTGACCTCCCTCCACCCGAGCCCAGGCACATACACAACCCCCACGACCCTCGGCATCTCCCACCCCTTGCCCATAAACATGCCCTTGAGCTCGTCGTCGTTGATGTACTTGCGCCAATCGTGCGTGCCCTTGGGCACGATCCCCAAGATATCCTCGGCAATCAGATTCGTCGTAAACCAGCTCGTCCACGTCCGCGCAATCGTGCTCCCGATAAGCCACCCGCCAGGCCTCACGAACGGCGCGCACCGATCGAGGAACTCGGCCGGCGACGACACGTGCTCGACGACCTCGAACACCGACACCACATCGTAACACTCCTCGGCCTTGGTCGGAACGGGGAGCGTCTCGATCGTGGCGGCCTTGTATTCCAGCTTGCCCCGCAGCGCCGGATCGCGGCGGGCGTGGCCCTTTGCGATGGCGAGCACGCCGGGCGTGGGATCGACGGCCGTGACTTTGGTGGTGTCGGGCAGCCGGGCCGCGCTCTCGGCGAAGATGCCGCCGCCGCAGCCGACGTCGAGGAAGCGCGTGGGCGTGGGCGACGGGTCGGGTTGGCTGGCGAGGCAGTCGCGGATGAAGTTGTGACGGAGGGGGTTCATTAGGTGCAGGAGGCGGGAGGAGCCGTGGGGGTCCCACCAGTCGGCGGCGAGGATGTTGAAGTGCTCGACTTCTTCGGGGGAGACGGAGGAGTACGTCGAAGATGTCGAGGACGAGGACGAAGTCGAGCTCGAGGTTGAGCTTGGCCGGCGGAATTGGAGCGGCGCAGCGGCGGAGGCGGCGGCGGTGGTGGTGGTGGCTGCAGGTCCGGGACACGTTCGGAGGGGGAGTGACGTTGCAGCCGCGCGGGAAGCCGGCTGAGTTGCCGTGCTTGTCCGCCGCAGCGCGCGCAACAAGGCGGCTGTGGCCGGGCGAGAAGAGGCCATGGCGATTTGTGGTCGTGGATACTGATCGTATTCAAGGGTGTGGGGACTGAATGTGCTGGTGAGGATTTGATGGGAAATTCAGAGCTTCGAGAAAAAAATGATGACAAAGCAGAGAGCTGTGACGTGCTAGGGTGCTCCGGGAGCCGGGGGTTGGAGAAATTGGAGAATCTACTTGTATCCGCGACCTCGGCGCTGTCACCGAATCAGAGTGCACTCGAATCGGCAGCTCCCCCTGATGGTAATTCATACAGACCAATTGTGCTCAATTACGGGATCTGGGAATAGCCGCTTAGAATTATCGAAGCCGCACCATGGAAACGGGGCCATTTGGGTCCTTGGCTAAGGTAAGGTAGAACTGGGCCGCGCGGGTGCTTATTGGGAAGCTTTGTCAGCGCCCACCTCATGTGTAATTCTGACTGCTCCTTATGTAATCCACACGATCTCGGTTCGCACCGGTTGGTTGCATCTGGACGTCTTCGCATCCGTGGCATCTCACCTCAGCTGTCTGGATTCCTACCAAGGTACCTTGAGGCACCTTAAGGCAGGTGAGGTAATGTGAATGAGCAGAGTCCCCGAGGTGCCAGGAATGGTGGCTCCGCACTACACAGTAAGGTAGATAGAACTCTGAAAGCCCGACCGCCGCCCGAGATTTCATGCCCGCTGGCCGATTCCTCGGCGCATTCGGCGCCAGTAGCATTGAGCCCCTCCTCATCCCACCACAATCGTCCAGGGGTCCAAAGTGCAGTTGCACGCACGCAAGACGCCAGCACATGGGTGACAGGTGCAGACCAGTCTAGTGTGCAAGTCGGCCGGCGAATCCCATGAGTCAACCAACAAAGCCGAGCGATCCTCGGGACCTTTTTTTTTTTTTTTTTTTTTGGTCGTCCTTGCGCCGGCCGACGACGACATGTCACATTTATAAAGGCAATCCTCCACATTGCGCGTTGAGATATTATATTGAACACGTTGTACTATTTGGCCTGTGTTATATAAGAAGTGCATCCTGAAGTTACAAGTTTGAGTACCTACATTGACAAACAATTCGAACATCACCGAGATTACAACACCTTGGAGATCGGCCCAGATCCTATCATCCGCCAACTTCCAGGATCAAATCAACCGGAACCGGCCCAGAACTCACTCAAAGAAAGCCCCATCATCTTCCGCCCGTTTTGCCTTGCCTCCACCCCTTCCGCATGACGGAATATCGGGTGCGTTCCTGTTGAAGAAGGGAAAAAAGAAAAAGACGATAAAGAGACCCGTACCCGCACCCGCCTTCCAAACCCCCTGGACCACCGAACTTTGCCCGCAGAACCCCCAAGCTAGCACCTAATTTCTGCCATCTTCCACACACGCGCGCGCGGGGATCGGCCTTTTCAATTGAACGACAACCCCTCCCCCTCACCCCTCCGTCCCGTCCGTCCACCACCACCACCACCACCACCGCCAACTCCAACACCACACCGTCACGAGCGAAACCTCAGCCTCGACCGCAACCTCAACTACCACCGCCACAACCACCACCACCTCTTGCGCACTCTCGCCTCTTCCTCTTCGCACCTCCCACAACGACCCCATTCCGCACCGCCCTCTCCATACACCAGCCGCAGCAATGCCTTCCTCAACAATAGACGAGTCAAAGTTCGACTCCATTCCGGACGCCATTGAGGCATTCCGTAAGTGCTCTTCTACCCCGGAACTTCCGCTCAACCTCCCTCCCGCAAAGCCTTCTCCCGCCTTGCGCGCGCTCGCGCGCCTGCTCGTCCACCGGTCTACCCCTTCCAATGCGTCATAGACACCAATCCACTGACTCGGCCACCATACCCCCAACAGGCAACGGAGAATTCCTCGTCGTCCTAGACGACCCCTCCCGCGAAAACGAAGCAGACCTCATCATCGCAGCCGAGTCCCTCACCACAGCCCAAATGGGCTTCATGATCCGCCACTCCTCAGGCTACGTCTGCGCGCCCCTCGCCCCCTCCCTGCTCCAGACCCTCAACCTCCCGCCCATGGTCTCCGCAAACGAGGACCCCCGCGGCACAGCCTACGCCGTCTCCGTCGACGCCGCCGATCCCCTCGTGACCACCGGCATCTCCGCCCACGACCGCGCCCTCACCTGCCGCGTCCTCGCCGACCCGGCCTCGGGCCCCCGAGACCTCCGCAGACCGGGCCACGTCCTGCCGCTGCGCGCGCGCGAGGGCGGCGTGCGCGAGCGGAGGGGCCACACCGAGGCCGCGGTCGACTTCTGCAGGCTGGCGGGCAAGAAGGAGGCGGCGGCGATTTGCGAGATCGTCGACGACGGCGTCCCTGTCGAGGGGCAGGCCGTGCACGAGGAGCCTGGTATGCTGAGGGGCGAGCAGTGCATCGAGTTCGCGAGGCGGTTCGGGCTCAAGGTGTGCACTATCGAGGCCCTGGTCAATTATCTCGAGAAGACGGAGGGTAAGCTGGCCGTCAACGGGTCGTCGTAAGTCGGCATGCCAATTGTCCGATTTTTTCGTAGTCGGGTTCCGGGTCTGGGTGGACCGCGGCTTGATGGCAGGTTCAAGTCACGTCTACTCGATTGTTAGGTTCGAATCGTTCCGATCAGCTAGAGGGTTGAGCAAAGGCGAGAGGGCCACCTTCGCAAGGGGGAAGAAGAATTTGCGGAGAACCGAGGCCATACCCGCTTAGGAGAAGGCCAGAAAACCACCACTTTGATGTTGCAAGAAAGGATATCCTGAGCCATTGGGCCGGTGCGGCTAGTCACGGGGCAGTCGCACCGAGAAGAGAGGGAACGAGGAAGCGAGCAAGATGGACATTGCATAGTGCGGTATGTATATACATTGGTATATCTTTGGACATGGCGGGTTACTATAAAAGACAAATGGCTCAACACCACAAAACAACATGGGCGCTGTACGGGTGCTCCGAATTCTACTCCTCTTATCTGCGTCACATCTCAGTGGTACTGAAATCTCATACGCGGCGTCTAGTCGCAGCTGTCAAGTCCCAACCCAACGTTGGCATTGCCTGCTTGCTTTCAGTTCAAAGCGATGTACCAAAACTCAATGGAGACCTCCCTGGGGACTGAGAGATAAAAGGACGGGATGGGTGGTATCTCTACCGTCCTTAGATCACGAAAGATCATCACTCGCGTATCGCGCAAAGCTCCTCCCGAGCTGGTACACCGCCACATAAACAAAAGAAAACCACACCAATAACCTATCTCACTGCGTCGCGTACGGATCCTGAGACATGATCCCTTTGCAGCACATAAAAACCCACCCTTCGCACTACACCTTGACAAACGGGCTGAACCCCTCCGCTGAAGTAACCCAGATGAAACATCCGATCGAGACATCGCCACATCATATAGTCCCTGATGATGTTGGCACTCAAACAACGTGGATAGGTTGTCGATCCGGCTCCCCCTTTTCCTCTCAAGGAACCTGCCACCCGATCTGTTTACCAAAAACCGCGACCCATACCCCGGCACACTGCACCCGCCTCAAAACCATGCAAGTTGCAAAACAACACCCACCAACACCAACATAAAGAAAAAAACCTGTTCTTAAGCGGTCCACTAAGGTACGGTGGATGACATTCTCGGAGTACAGAACGTCAAGAAGGGGAATCAGAACGGCACGGTAGTGCCTGGGCTTACCAAACCAACCAAGCCACTGGGACAGAATGAAGCATGTTTGGTTCAGGCATGCGAATCCGGCTGGGCTGGGCTGGCCAGCCTTCGGCAAACCCGACGTCTTGTGACTGCAGATCGGCACGTCTTCACATTGGCGGTTCGGGATGCCGATGACAGTGAAGCCCATCTTTCTGTTGGAGACGGCCAAGGGTCATGTACTGATACCTTCCAAGTTGGTGACACTATTTCGCAATAAGAAAGCAAAAGCCAAAAGAAAACAATAACGCGTATTGTTACTACCTGCCAATACCCCCCAGATGTGATAATCCTCGTCATGATGCCCGCATGCGTTATGCCGTGTATCCCCCCAATGCCCTGTGCCGGATGCAAGAATAAGTTATCAATGCAATTCCCATCCCAACCCGCCACCCCGCGGCACAGGATGCACCTCGTCTAATAACGCCAGCAATGCATGTATGTATCCATCATCATCATCATCATCATCGTCGTCGTCGTCGTCATCATCTTCTTCTTCTGTCTCAATCCCTAGACAATCGAAGTCATGAGGTGAAAGCCAAGATGAAATCAGCATTCAAGCTTCTCGCCCTTCATCCACTCCCCCAAGTCTCCCTCGATATCATACGTGGCGTTGGCGACCTGTCCCCCAGGCTTACGGTCCCAGGCCCACATGTCGGCGTACTCGGCCTCGAGCTTGCCATGCATCATCTTGACGACGTACTCGCCAATGACGGGAAAGAACTTCCAGGCGTGGAACGAGCCGCCCGTCGCAACGTAGAGGTTCTTACAGCGGGAATGAGGGGAAATAAGAAAGTCGTGCCCAGGCGTGGTCGCGTCCCTGTTGTGTTGTGTGGCGGTGTAAGCATATCTCGGGCCGAGTTTTACGGGTGATACGATGGCAGCAACAGGGGAGACTTACCAGCAGACGCGGTACTTTTCAATCACTTTGCTGTCCATCTCGTCTCCGTAAAGACCTTTGAGGGTCTTGCGAGCTTGCTCCTTGAGGCGCTCGGGAACTCCATCTTCGGTCCACTCAGTGAGACTTGAAGACGACGGTGCGAGTGACATGGTCTTGCCGGTCATGGCGTGAAACTGGTGATATGTAAAAGCCATGTCACAGTTGAACTTGAGTGTTCCATCCGGAGTCATGGACATGGACTCGCCTGGTTTCTTGTCAGTATCAGCACTTATAACAACAGTTCAAGTGACTCACCTTTGACCGAGGGAATACGGTTCTTGAGCACGGGAATGCCCTCAAACTTGTCCTTGTGCGCCCCCTGAACGCTGGTAGTGAAGCTCACCGCACCGGTAGCAACGACTCGATCTCCAGCGTGGAGCTCCTTCCGCTCAGGGGCACTCTCCAAGAGTAGCGAAGAGGTACGAGCACCAGTGCAGAGCAACACGATGCCCTTGACCTCGTGTCCGTTGTCCAGTCTGACTCCGGTGCAGTCTCCTTCGCTGTTGAAGAGCAAGCTCGTGACCTCGGCCGTGATGAGCTTGGCTCCTTCGTCGATCACTCTCTGGCGGGCAGCTTCGAGAGCATTGGCCGCCTCGAACCAGCCGCACTGAGGGTTATACCTCACCCGGTCGAGTCCCTCAAAGTCGGCCGTGGCAAAGGCAGGCCATTCGGCTCGCACCTCGTCAGGAGTCATCCATCTGGCGCCAGACTCGTGGCCGAGGATGCGATGAACATCCTGAGCCTTGTCGTTGTGGTTCTTATCCTTGTTATTGTGAGGTTCAGCACGGATCATGCCGACTTGGTGGAAGAAGGGGTTCCAGAAGGAGTCAGTCTCCCAATACCTCAAGGCCTCGATGGCCAGCTTCGCGTAAGGCAGGTTTGGGTAGTCATTCCTCCCAATCTTGGAGATGTCGTGGGACGCTGCCTTTGGATTGGCGAGGGCGGTAGGGTCAATGAGAACGATGCTGCAGTCAGGCTTGTATTTACGTAGCCAGATGATCGTAGAGAGGCCAAAGATGCCTCCTCCAACAACGATGTAGGTTTCCGACTTGACGCCGGTGCCCTGAGGGGCTGTGAATAGCGATGACTTGGCCATGATATGTTTTTCTGGTAATGTAATCGGCTTCTGCAAGCTGACTGTAACTGACACGAGGGAGATTTCACATCACTCCGGGCACGGCTCGAGTCTTTATATAGATAAACATGTCAGCATCTTGAAGACGGAAAGAAGTGAGAAAAGAGCAACGCATTATCCACAAAGGGAGAATGTTTGATACACACGCCTGTGCCTACGTCTACGCCTCAGTGGCTTCTTCCGTCCATCCGTTTCTTCGTCGTCCACGGCTCAGGCGCGGATATCCGCTCTACTCCAAGGGACCCGCGCAGCAAGCACGCACGAGATTAGATGCCGACGTCCAACCGACCACCGATGGCACACGCCGTCCACTCGGGAATGGGCCGACGTTGACACTTGGATCTCCTAGGAAAACTCGCCATCATTCTTTCTCCCTGGGGGAGGGGAATCGTGCGGGAAATCAAGTGACCTGGAATGGCCTGACTCTGAATCCCTGGAGTGAGGATCTAGAGTGAATGGAGGCGGCTGGGCCCCGGGAAATCCCAGATGTACATGGTCATGGGCGCAGCGCAGCAGGAGCGCAGAAGGACGGGGTAATACGACTTGCATTCATTCGATGGAGCCATGCCGTGTGTGTCCTGTGTTGCTGTTGTTGGAACCACGGGAGTGAGTATACCCACGACAGCCAGGACACGACGTCGATTCGCATCCCATCATATCAGTAGAGGGTGGCGAAAAACCAGGAGAGTTCGGGTTAGACAGAAAGAAAGGGCGACGAAGGAGCAGAACGTCGCAACAGAAGCGGCGTATTCGTCTCGGGAGTGGCAGCAGGCGGCGCCGAGCTAGGTGAGACCAAACGAGGCGGCTCCCGGGGCACGGAGGGATCTGCGATCTGACAAGATTGGTATCCGTGGTGACATAGACAGTAGCGTAGTCTGGTGTAGGTAGGTAGTGAAGTGTAGCGTAAACCACGTTGAGATGGATGGTCGTTGCTTTGGGCTTGTGAGGTGAAGTGGTGTTGCGACTTGTCGATGCGAGAGTGTTGGAGGGGACTTTGGAGGGGGGTGCAGTAAGCGAGTAATGAAGGGGACCGGGGGGGTGGTTGCCGTCGAGGATGCGGGTCTTTCCAGGTTGCGCTTGCGGTTCCGCTTTCTTGTGGTCGTTGGAATCGAGCAAGGAAGCCACGATCTCAAAGGGTTGAAGTTGCCTTAGGTAAGGCAGCTGCCATGGGCCGTTGCCGCCATGGGCCATGGGGGAAAGAGGAGTGGAGTGGAGGAAGGAAGAGGAGGGTCAGGTCAACTGTCAGGGGGGAAGAAAGAAAGCAGCATCAGGGAGGTACGTACATCCTCAATAGTGACCCTACAAGTACTCCGTACCTAGATTGATATCCAGAACGGGCAGGGGTCTTGCCCATCGGTGCGGCGTGCCATGGGTATCCGTACACTAGGAAAGTGTTGCACCATGGCCCTGCCTTGTTCGTGACTGCCAAACTGTGCCCTGTATCCTCATTGGTCCGGCCTTTGTTCCTTTCCAGGTGACCAATCACAGCTCAACTGCTTCAACAACCTTACCCTTGGCTTCCATCAAGAACATCAACCCCCTAGCCTAGCGTTCTTTTCTCAGCCAGAGAAGACCAGGATCAATGATATCTCGACAAATGTTCAAGACCCAGCCCAGCTGACTATCTAATTCTACTCCCGTCCCCCGTGCTCCATCCCTTACTCTTAAGCCTGCAACGGGGAAATGCTCAAGACGCCAGGAAACGCCTAGGGCGGGACAACAACCCTTGAAGATTCTCCATATCACTAACGCAGGTCACGACGAATCCAGCGTCGTGCGATTCGTACCGCTGATGGATACTCAACAACTCCATCCCAAGACCAAGAAGTACCCACGAGGGGGGGTTTCCATTCCTCCTCGGAAGTCTGCTCTCCTCGAGTTGAGGTGGTAGTCCATCCACTTCTTGCCTCAAACTAGGACAAGAGCACTCGCTCATTTGTTCGACGTACGCAGTCTTGAGTAAGGTTAGTCGTAGCGATGGGTGTCTAGATAGCAAACTTGCGAGTTGCATACCTACACATAATTCAAGACTCTTTCCGGACATCGCTCCTCTTCCGGATGGACTGGCCGTTTTCTCGTTGCTTTTACCGTTGTGTTTTTGGGGGGTGGTGTTGGGTTCAATTACCTCACTCGAGTAGCAGTAGCAGTAGCAGTGAATACCTTAGTTGCCTGACTGTGTTTCCCAAAATACGCCATGTTCCAGCTTTCTACTGAAGCGGGATTCTTGCCGTAGCTTCCAATCGAAAAGACGTGTTGGTCAATCCCTTGCTCTCTATCTCTCTGTGCCAGTCTTTCCTTCTCCCGCTGTCTTGCAGTCACTCTCCTCTTCTCCAGCGACCGCCAAGAACCAACTTTCTCACGTCTCTGGCGCGCTTCTGGCGAAGGGGGGCCACCAGCGCCTCAAACTCGATCGACTGCATACCCATCCCTACCAGCAATTCACTTCAGTCAGCATGGCCGATTTTCAAGATACGGGTTCCCAGGCTCATTAGAAATACCATGTTCCATCAAAATCCATGGCCAAGCCTAGGCACTTTCCTACTGCGGTGTCTTGCTGCCGTGCGCCACCCATCATCTCTCCCCGCGCTAAAGTGTAAAGGAACGAGAGAAAAAGTCTCTTCCTTCCAACCAACTAACTCTCACACTCTCTCTGTCTGTTCTTTTACCTGGTGCGGGTGCCTTGTATCCTTCCCTCCCACGTTTTGCTGCATTTGCCTCTTTCTCTCTGCGGCGTCTGTCGTTCTCGTATATTTCCTCTCCCCCCTTTCCATCCTACCTTACCTCAATGATCTGACATGACAGTCTCACCCCCAATTCGAGAAAAGGGCGCATGTCAGAAGGCGAGGCAATCGCCTCTGTGAAACCAACCCCATCATAGATGCTTTGCCGCCCTCCCGTGTCCAATCGCTTGTAAATGAGTGCAGGTGCAATTGCATGTAAGGGTTCGGAAACTGTAGTGAACCCAGGCCCTTTTTTTCGTACATCTCCTTCGGGTGACGATCTGCCCACGAGGTGTCGTTGCACCAGGCTTCGCCAGCGTCCTTTTCCCGTACGACACGACATATGATGACAGACAGGCATTTGCTCCGTAAGGTAGCCAGCCCTTCCTCTCCTGCCTCTCCTGCCTTGCCATGCCTGGCCCCCGCCCTCCCCGACCAAGCCTGCAAGGTCCAGAATTCACAACGGGGGAGGGGAGGCACCACACAAGCTGACGCCCACGGCACATCTCCCGCTTAGTTTTGACTGTGTCCCAGTCACCCTTCCACCAGGTTCTGAGCCGTCTTGCCGGTCCACGTCCTGGCATCTCATCATGCCGGCAGTAGTACAGTACGAATATGCCTGCCCGCCATTTTCCCTTCTAAGATTGTTTGCTTTGCGCATGCCAGTCCCAGAACCCCGTCTTGAAGCGTTTGAAGGATTTCCGCAGTAAGCGGAAACTAATCAGGAACCTGGTAACACTCGTGATAATAATACCACAGCTCAGATACAGAATATCGACGTCGACGATTTCTCCCTCAATGAGTCAGTATCTGCCAGGTTTAACCGGCAGGCATGTCTACCCACCTAGACTCTTTCGTGACGACCTTGGCCCAACGCCTTTCGGCTGCCATCTTTGATGGCGCCCGCATGAGATTGTCCATGTTTCACTGTCACACCGCAAAGCCCAAAGAATTACCAATCGGCATCTCCTGCAGATGTTGCCGACTGGAACGTTTCCTCCGTCCGCTGTTTGTTGGACTCCTTCCGAGTTTTCTTCGAAAGACGGCGCAGCGCAAGGATACAGAGACTTGTCCAATAAGCGGGCATAGGTTTCTTCGCCAACAGAATGATATTTGGCGACCAACATCGATCGTAGTCCGTGAGACTTTGTGCACGCATTTCCGTGCAAATGTTTCATAGGTGGGCTAAACCCTCAGGTACTCTCTCATACAGCAGCCAACCGCCCAGTAGTCAAGAACCAGACTGCTCTGACCAACCAGTTCTCCCATGCAAGGCGCATCATGTGCGCGTCCCAATCCAAAATGACTGTCGCTGACCCCTGCCAACATGAGAGTAATGATACATTGTGCTAGCCCAACGCCGTGGAATGCTTGTCCCTTATACCAAGCAAGAAGAAGAGAGAAAAAACCGCTATTGCCCCCAATCATCATGTCGTGTTGTAAATGGAATTTGCTCTGTCTGCCCCGGATGCTGTCCCGGTCGCTGGTCCGGAATTCAACCCGGCTGCAGACTAATTCATGAGCTGAGATGCAATACTACCTTCGAGCCCCAGGCAACGGTAAGGGCTGGTCGTGCTTGACATTTTGCTGATGCCGAACTAACTGGTCCTTCCTGGCGAACCCGTCTTTATTTGGACACCCTGGTAGTTGGCACTTGTGAGGTTTGGAATGCTTCTGCAAGTGTTGCCTGCTCCTATTAGCGTTGAACTCAGAAATGGGAGCCAGCCGTCATACCTGTACATGCAGTTCCGGTGAAAGATTTTGGGTCCCCCGTTGATATTTTGACCCCCTTTTTGACACGTCCTCCAGTAAGGGCACCTGTACTCGCCCTTACCTCTGTGTCGAAGAGAGTCCATATCCACACGATTCGGGTTCCTCTCGTCCGAGTCGTCCACATCCAAGACATCGTCATCCTCCTCTTCGTCTTCGTCATGTGGAGATGGTGGGCTGGTTGATCGTCTGTCACCATCAGACGGATGATAGGTGCGCGAGCTGTCAGAAAATGATGCTTGAGATCCCACCGCAGAGAACCCTGTTGTCGAGCTCGATCCTAAAACGGAAAATGACGACCTGGAGCTGGAGTCCGAAGCCATAGGGTGTTGTCTGTACTCTGGAAGATATCTGTTTTGATGTGGTGGAGCTGCACGATCTCTGATGGTCTTCAGATTGCCCGCACTGCTGTTGATTTCTTCCTTCATATTGCTAAAATGCCGTCAGCATTGTGCACCTCCCACGGCCAGACGATAGAAAAGTATTTGTACGTACTTTAGCATTTTGTGTTGAGTTTTTGCGAATTCCAGAATGCCCATGTCATTGAACCCATTAGCGCGGTACGCCTGGTCTACGAGATTGTGGCCGGTCGATTCCAAGCGCTCTTTCGTCAGGTAGTCGTCGGTGAACTTCTTGAAGGCATCAAACACATGCATCGTGACGTCTGCCATGTACGCCAATTCGCCTTCTCTCTGACTGTGCCGCGGAAAGGTCTTTCTGAATTCATCGAATATGGCCGTGAACATCATAAGAGCCTCCGTCTCCCGGTTGACGGCCTTCTCGGGGTTGAGTAACGAGTTGATATCGAGAGGCATGTTGGAAATGGTGGCGCGGCCCGAAGCATGAACTCAGTTAAGATGGTGCCTGTTCGTGGATGGTCGTGAAGTATATCGTGCCAAGTTAAAACAGCAGGTTAAAATGGTTGAACTTGTCGTTTGGAGCGAGCGTTACGGTGGAATATCGAGACTTTGATGTTGAAGTGAGGACCGGTGGTGACAGCAGTTCAGCAAACCATTTCGAAGCAGACCAAGTGGGTCTTTGTGGAAGAAGGCAAGCTTGGTGATGCTGGCCAGGCCAAGGAGGGATTAACAAGGAGTCGAGAGTTGAGACGTTGTGAGAGTGCAAGCGTTGGCGTTGGCGTTGATGGAGCTAGAGAAGTGCTAGAGGTAACGTCCCGGTCACAACTCAGGAAAAGTTTGTAGGATTTGGGCAGGGGAAAGTAGAACTTGGAAGATGGAGACGGGTGGAGAGGGGGTTGAATTGAACAAAGTGACGGGGGAGGGGAAAGAGAAAAGAGATAAGACCCGAGTCTAGCAGAAACACACGAGGGACGGCGGATAAGGCCAGAGGAGAAGCTAAGGTAAGGGAGCGAGCGGTTGAAGGCAAGGAGAAAGAGAGAAAGAGAGAGAGGGGATCAGTCTGATGGATGGAGAATGACAATCGACGGGGCGAGGCCGGGGGGGAGGGGAGCGGCAGACGGCCAAAAAGCGGATCTCAGGCTGGCACGGGGGGGGCAACGGCTCGCCGAGGACGCAGCAAGCATGCAATGGCGCGTTGGCGACAGCGATGATATTGGCGAGAGGTGCGTGTGAGGAAATGAAGATGAGAGAGTGGTGGTGAATCCTCCAAGTAGCTGCAGATGCGGTCTCAGTCGTAGTGCCAGTCCCTTGCCTCGTTACGCCCGTAGGAACCGGTCAAGCAGAAGAGCCCAAAATCCCAGGGCCGGACTCAGGGCTCAGGGCTCAGAGGAGAGAGAGGAGCCTGAGAGGGGTGGGAGAAGAGATGGAGAGGGGGCAATGATGAAAAGCCTGAAGGAGGAGTCTTGGTAGACGGAGGGGGGCAAGACACGACACGAAAGAGGAGAGCATGACATGGCGAGTGAGGCAAGTAGAGGATCCCGCTGCCGCTGCCGCTGCCACTACCGCAGAACGTGAGAGGAAGTGAAAAGTGGAGGAAGAGAAGAAAAAGAACGAGGCCATCCGTGAGGAGAAACCGGAGTGGCATTCTGCATGTTTCTTCTGCATGTCTAAGACGGAAGGGGTGCAAGGGCCAATGGTGGGTTGACGGTTGGCTTCGCGTGGGTGGTGGATAAGCAGACCGAATGTAAGCAGCGGGAGACAAAAGAGGGAATGGGTGCGACGCAGCAGTGGCAGGAGCGACGCAGCGGCGGGAAGAAGCAATTGTGCGGCTCGAGGCAGGGCAAATTCGGGGGGGAAGGAGGGGGCCCAGAACGCGGCCGATCTGAACGAGAAGTTCGAATGTCCAGAGCATCCGTACAGACTGGAGTCTCCATACCTAAGCGTGCTAAGGTACCTTGCGGCGTGGGAGTGGATGAGAGACATGGACGAGGGGGGGTGCGGGCAGGCACCGTTACCGGGACCCATAAGGCAGGTTGACCGGGTGGGGATCATGGAACCCAAGGCACGGCCGCAGGGAGACCATGAAAGATACCTTACCTAGGTGCCTCACTTTACCTTACTTTAGGTAGGTACATAACTTGGAGTGAGGAAAGTACGGAATACTTCACTACCTTAGTGTACTGCCTTATCCTTCCATTTTGAAGTAACGGAAGGCGACAATAGATGACAGGCAGGACCGTCTGGTAGTTGAGGTGTCCTTGTCAATATCTTGGGTATCGTATGGGAGGTGTAGGCAGGCAAATCACAGTCTTCCTTCTCCTTCAAGTTGAAAGATGTCAGGAAGAAGAAAGAGCGGTGTCAGTCACGGTGGTGAGGATGGCACTACCTATCCTCGCACTAACTATCTGGATGGGTGTTACAGCATAAGATAAGTTGGGAGTTGGAAGCATGTCAACATCTACGCCTTTGTGGACGTACCAGACGTAGCCTGATGAAATCGTAATGACAAGCCATGGGGACCCGGGGCTTGTCCGAAGGGTGGGTGCCCATCCGAACGCCGGTTGGTGGCATCTCGATGATGTCGATCAGCATGTTGGGAGCTGCTGGTGCTAGAGCCGGTGCCGGTGCCGGCGCGGATAGCGACCAGACCGTTGGTACCGCTTCTGTTGGTTGCGCGGCTTTGCCGAAGTGGTCAAGGTCAAGGCCATGAACATGGTCTGAGTGATGAAGGTCATGATGATGTCCACGATGGCGAAAGTGGCACCTGGCAGACGCCTCAGATCAGCAAGGGTTAAGGGTTATGGCCGCGGATAGATGGGAGACAAAGAAAGATATGAGGATCCAGGAAGGGCATGGAAGATGAAGCAAGCTGGGAAAGAATGTAATTATTGCCCAACTGCAGCGTACTAGAACTGGAAATGAGGTACGGATACCATCCGTCGACCAGGATAAGGCATTTCTAAACTGCTCTAATCTTGCATGAGAAAGAGAAAAGATGTGCTGCAGGTGATAATAATTGTGGTTGCAACTTGCCAGACCCTTTTTACTCCGTCGGGATCCGTACGGACATTGGGCGCTTGTCTGCCCGTCTGCCAGGTTGGTATCCGTACATATTTTGGTGCATGAGGGATCGGCAATCCCTCCCCACGTCGTATCTTTCGGAGAATCGTGCAGTTTAATGAGAATCGAGGTAAGAAGAGGGAAAAGAAAACATGAAGGTAGTGAAATAATGGAAGATCAAGGTACCATGCATGCCACGATCCCCTCCCCTGAACTTCATGGACGGCGGTCAGGTCATGGAACTTGAAAGGTCAGGCCAGGGTCGGGAAAGCAGGAAGAGCGTGGGGCGGGCGGGTGAGGGTCCGAGGGATGAGGTGAGGTGGAGGAAAGTTGAAGTGGGCACCGCAAAAGCTGCAAGGACAGAAACGAATACTGGGGAGCTGGTGAGCTGTGAGCGAACTGTAAAGCGGCAAATACCCATTTCACAATTGTTGCTGGGCGCAGCGCCGCAGACTTGCAAGTTGCCCGCTTGCTGCAGCATTGATCGGTTGGTTCGATTTGCAACATTGGACCAGGGAGAAATGCATGTGCAAGCGAATGGGGAAAGGTCTGCCTCACAAAACCCATGTCTACAGACTGGCACACTAACAGATTACAGTAGGCAGGTGGATGCAGGTCGTTGGTGGCGGGGAAAGAGGGAGGGGGCACAGTTGGGAAGCCACGCTAGCGAGGGATACCTAGTGACAAGTTCGACATGGGTAAGATGGGGAAGGGGGGCACCATCAAATAAGGTACTTGGCGACTTCGTACCTACACGAAGGAAGGAGGGGGAACACCAAGGGTAAAGATCGGCCTCGAAAGGTACCTCCCTTCGTCGTTCAACAAGCTCTGGCAGCCACCAAGTTGGCAAGACTCAAGAGTCCCGTCGCTTCCTTGTCCAGCATTCCTGCCTCGCTCATGTTCCCTCCTTCTTGCTACGCTTTATTTTTCTTGCAGATACCCTCAGGTTCTTTCATTCTCTAAGGTAAGGTACCTCCCTGGAGGCTGGTGCTTCTTCACCTTGTCGCGTCTTGCTGGTCCCCCATGGGTCCACCACTCGTGACTGCACAATTTGGGAAAATGCGTTGGGTATGATTCTCCTGCTGTGCCACAAAGACAGTCCACTTGTTCGATTTCTCCTTCTCGAGAACGTGCGGGTTTCTGCTTTCTTGACAACCTGCCCACCTACATGCCATCCATTCCATCCTGATCTTACCCGCGCGTGGGACTCACTCGGGCGATTTTCCATCGTAATCCATCATCATCTTGCTTCCTGGTTGACAAAGAACGACACGAACAATTACCTGACCGCGCATTCCCAAACACGCGCCTCCCAGGGTCCGGAGTTGTCGAATTAAGCTCACCCCCCGACCCCCGACTTAGAGTTCGCCTGGCGTGACATGCGCACGCAGCAAGGACCACTTTCACCCGAAGTTGCAGTCCGTCGCAGTCGCCGTCGCAGTCTTCTCTTGTCCGTCACCGCTCCGGCGCCCACGTCCAGTCACCAGTGGAGATCCAGCTCCAGCTCCAGCATCTGCTGCGTGTGAGGTCTGAGCCCGATCAGATATCCGTACCTTGCCTTGGTGACGGGAGGAAAGAATCTGGCATCGCTACTGCCCGTGTCAGGTCGTTGTCGCCTCCTTCTTCCTCTTGTCTCTTTTGCCCGCCTTCACCACAATCTCCGCCTCCGCATCGCCCTCCTGTTCCTCAACGCCATCCTTTTTGACTCCTTCCTCAGAGGACCTAACCAGGATAGGTACCTTTCTACCTGCCTTGTTAACCTACCTAAGGTACCTACCTGGGGTAAGATTCGGTATCGAGGCGGGACCTTCCATTCCTGTCCTTGACGTCAAGATCAAAGTATTCGGGTAAGTAGATGATCACCCATCTAATTCGACCGCCCGCCTCAGTCGCTTCCTTCCCGGTCCTGTCTCTTTCCTCCGACTGCTCGTGGAGTTTGTCAAATCACATCGCTCAGTCGTCTTCTCGGAGGTGGTCCCGATGCTTGATGCCAATTGAGACACACGTGTTGGGTCACACCTTCCTTCAGATGATGTTAGCTGCTTGGGCACCGCAGTCGGTGTGCCCTCCCTCGATGGGACATCCACACGCAAGCTTACACACACACACACACACACACACACATTTTTTTTTTTGGGTACCCATCTCTTGAGTCTTGCTTTCTCCTCATTCAAGGGATCGAACCCCGCTGCTTCGACCGTTCCTTCTTCGTCTCTTCCCTTTCCCCTCCCCCACCGTCCTTTTCTCGCTTCCACGCCAATCCAGGTGCAGACGTGGGCAGAAGGAATGTAAAAATCGCGTCACAGTCGCAGACACGCTAAGGCAAGGCAGACAGGGCGACCTATCGCGGTGTAACGATAACTTTGCCTTGTGCAACCCGAACAGACCAGCTGCCAGCTTACATGACCATTACTTGAGGGTATTCGGCTCTACGGCTACTGCGTCTACATTGCACCATTTGTCGGTACGGGGTATCATACGTACCTGACCACGCAAATCCTGCGCTTCGTTCTGTGCCAGGTACGAAGCCTATACAGGTCACTCACCTAGCATCTCATCTCGTCTTCAGCTCCGTCCGTCTTGTCTCGCAGCGTCCCATGCGGGCAAGCCGTCAGACTACCTATCCGACGAGCGGGAAGGTCCCAGTGGGTTGAAACTCTAAATCACGGACTCGACGCCAAATCAAGACACGTCCGGCACATCAGGTCATTTGACAAGCCTCAATTGCACACTGTCGCTTCCACGTCGCGCCTCGCCCTTGTCTTTCATTCTAGGCGCAGCGCTATCCACACATTGAGGGGGCTCCCGCTGTCTCTCCCGTCCGCTCCAACATCAGGTCCAACAACGCCGTGGTCGTCTTGCCTGAATCCACAACAAACGACTAGAGTAAACTAAGATACTTCTAGACGAGACATACTAGCAGAGACAACATTCCGTCGCGCGCGGGAGACACGCCGGGCCCCGTCCGCCCCATGCTTTGCAAGCCAAGCCCAAAGACGTTGAAACAGCGCATTCAGGGTTCACTCGGCGAGTTGGCAATTCGATCATACTGACCGATACCCAATTACCTCCCATCATCTGGAATCTAAGGTTCCGAAACGACGGCTGCTAGATCGAATCGCCCGTTGGACGGACGTTCACCCGAAAATTGAGCATCCAGTAACATCGTCCCAATTCCACCCGCCTCGTTAGCCAGCATTCCAACTTGTCTTGTCTCAGCAAAATACCGCACTTACTCGATACCCTTCTTCGGTACCTATTCCTCCAAAATTCATAGCAGCCAGCAGCCAACATTTCAGTTCGTAGGCGGATTCGTTCGGCAAAGAACGGGCCAAATACAAGGAAAAAAGGACAACGCAGACTTCTCGTGTCCGACTGACTCTGGCTCTGACCATCCTCCAGTCCAAGTGGAGCCATCACCAAGAACTACCAAACTAAATTAGAGCACCAACACCTTGGTTCCGTTCAGTCCGTACTCCGTACTCCGTACCGTCGACAGCACGCACCTTGCACGCAGGACGAGTCCACGGCGGAGTCGACCACTTGGAGTTACACTCGCACGTCGCGGCGTGTGTACTCACAACTTTGCTTGCTCTGTGCCTCTGAAAACTACCATCCGAGTTCCCATTCCGTCACCCGATCCCCCGTCCACTCGACCAAGTTTTGTGGAAGTTTCTTGTCTCTTGTCTCTTGTCACTTGCAGATTGTCGCGTTGCCTCATCTGCCACCCCACTCCATTCCTCCTACCTTCCACAGCTACCTTGGCTCTTTCTCATTCGCTTCCATTCCCGTTCACATTTCCTCCTTACTTTATCTCGAGGCAGGCAAGTGCACGAACATTGGTCTCCACCTCTTCCCTCAGCTAGCGGGCGCGGGAAGGCATCCTGAGTTCACCCTGACAGTAGCGCGTTGCTAGGGCCTGCTGCTGGTCGTTGCTAGAATCTCGTCCGCTCCTGTCGGCCGGTCGCTCAGGTGCTGGTGGCAGGTGCTACCGTGCTGGTGCTGTTCTCTCCTTTGGGCCCATCTTTCCTCCTTAGGACCCACCTCACCCGACCCGACCTGCACCACGTCCACGCTTCCTTCCTCCCATCCCTGGAAGCTCGCGCTAACGTTAACCGCCCCGTTGTCTCCACTTTCCGCATCTGATCCCTTACCTTAGCCTCCTAGCCAAGGTATACCCGGTCGCGTCCCACACCGACCTCACCTCTCCCCCTGGCCCTGTCGTGGACCACAGACGTGGGACTTCGCTGCGCTCCCTCCACCTCTATCCACTTTTGAATATCAAACTATCGCACCCGGCACCCGTGCACACACTCCCCCACGACCTCGTTTCCTCCTTTCTGGACTGTGGACAGACCTGGGCACGCTGGTCTCGTGTATCCATCCGGACAAAGTACATGCCTTTGGGCATCCCGTGTTCCGTGCTGCTTTCCGTCCCTCCCCGTCCAGGGCATGCTTGGTGCGACAGTCATGGCTACTAGGCCGCGGAAGAGAAGCCAACCCATGGACGAGGACCCTCCTCTCTTTTCCTATTCAACAGCCTCCGCTTCTGTCCCTACAACTACACCTTCATCGACGCCTGCTTCTACACCCTCGCCTGGAGACAACAACTCCAACATCAATGCCCAGGATTCCCTAATATGGAGCCCGGTAGGAGACTCCGAGTTTCCATGGTTCTCTCATGGAGCCAACACTCCCCGGCAAAGACTTCGACTGTCTAAACCCCGTGAGGATAACCAACCCCTGGCACGATCAAAGTCATGTAAGCTGGACGGAGTTCTTTACGTATCCTGAGCCGCCTGTGCCGCTCCCGTCCAGTATCGTGGGATTCCTGGGAGACACGAGAAGGGATGGGAGAAGAAGGCATAGATGATGATAGCACAAGGTCTTGGGAACTGTTGCCGACGAATCCTTGACTAACAACAAACTAGCAACCCCTGAGCCCTCGACGACTTCGACCAGACATGGGGCACTGTATGGCCCACCAGTCTCTCCTCACCCACCGCCAGATGTGATTTTCTCTCCGCGACTTCCTACTATAGAGGCCGACTCGGCGGAGGATTTGGACCTCACGAATCCCTTCGAGGATAACGCCGATGATGCGGATCGTCTCGTCCTGGGCAAAAGCCGTATTCAGGCCGGAACTATTATTGATGGATACATCAAGTTCCACAACGGCAAGTCGAGGCCAGCCAACCTACCGCGTCGACAGGCGGCGATACAACCGTCTGATCCCCAGGCTCTCCTGTCAGAATTATGTTCTCAAACGTTCTTGTTCGAGGCAGGCCTTGAAGACAATTGTGACAAAAATCTCTTCCAGTTTTGTGAGTCTCGGTACACCTGGTCGACATGGAGAATGGCTAACATTCTCAAGACGTCAAGGCATGGTGTTCTGGTCGGAGTGTCCTCCACAAAACCAACTGCTGGCTAGTTAACATACCCCGGATAATGAAGGACAGCTCTTGTGTCAAGCACGCGATGCTCGCGCTTGCTGGAACATATGTCCTCGACTACCAACCCGAAGAGAGCATTCGACAGGTAGTCAATGCACACTATAAGCGAGCCGTCCTACTCTTGACGATGGCTTTGAGAGAGGAGGCTCGGAACCCTAGTCCCACGGAACACGAGTCAAACAGCCTGATTGCCGCCGTGACGCTGCTAAACATGATCGATGTTGTGTCCCCAGAGCAACGTCGGCCGCCGAGTGCGGTTCCTCGTTGGCTAGAAGGTGCTCGCCTCGCTTGTCGTTTGCTGGATAAGTCGGATCCGGGTCATCGCTTCTGGGTACCCTCCAACATTCAGCCTTCCGACATGCAGATGGGCAACATGATCATCGCCGCCAGGGCCGCCATCATAGCCCTTCCCATGGCTCCTCTTGATTCGAAAGACACAGAAGAGCGATTTTCTTGGCTGTGCCAGGGCACTGAGCCGGAGACTCGCAGGATACATGGTGGATGCGGCATGTCGCCGATACTTCTTTCTCGTTTCGCTCAAATTACACAATTAGCAGCATGGTTATGGGAGGACCCCAATAGCAACGATTTTCACATGAAATCGAGCAGCAAAATAGTCCGCCAAGATTTGGGCAGGTTGCATCAGTGGACACAGCCCGCCGCCGAGTCTCCGTCCTATTCGGCCACAACGCGATCGGATCAATCTCGAGATACATCGGACATACGCGCTATCGAAGATCGCATTATGCGAAACGATTTCGGCCTTGTGATGGACGCCGAATCTATGACGGAAGTAACGGCCGAAGCATGGCGTCTAGCAGCCCTCATCTACCTTCGCTGCCGCCTCGAGAGACTACCTCGTTCTCACCCAGACGTCGTGTCTGAGGTTGACCAGCTGGTGAAATGCATTGACATGATGCCAACCTATGGCACCTTCTTCACTGCGCAAGCTCCATTCTTCCCGGTCTTCCTCCTAGGAATAGTGGCCACGACAGAGGCACACAGCCTTTGTGCCCTGAACTGGTTTCAATCGGTCGTCAGCACCAGTTGTCGCTCGGTAAGTAAAGTCATGAGAATCCTGTAGTTGGTGAAAATTCTAACCAGAGATATCCCAGAGTGTTCCCCCTGCTTTCAACTCCCTTCTGCGTATCCGTCATTGGATAACGGCCAATGTTGACGACAACATTCCTTCCGACCTTCCTGACCTCATTTCAGAGCGACACTCCTGGTGGGAGCCACTTGTGGCGCACATTATTTCTACCGAAGGAACTTTGTGCTTGATATAGAGGAAATCTATAGGGGCATTGATGGCCCAACGTTTGAAAGACAGATGCATTTTCGCAGAATACTTCATGCTATTCATTCTGGAGCACTCTTTATTTGCAATTCTTGCTTTCTTATGCAAGTATTTGTTTCCTATCGTGCCTCTAAGGAAGCGAGTGCGCTTCCGTCATCTCGTCATGTTTCGAATCGTCCGTCCGCCTCCGAAAGAATTCCCCATCCTCACACTATGAGAGATCAGAACTAGGACCACACATCTGCCTCTATGTACATACAGTGTACCTGTATAGCTATCGAGAATGGCTTACTCCCCACGTACGTAGATGGCACTATCCGTCTCGTCAATGGAGTTCTCAATGGCAGCAGTGCGTATGAGGTACTGTCGCATGTCGGAACCCTCAATAGCCCACGACTTGACGACTTCGAGGCCCGCCTCGGCGCACATATTGTGTACATCCTCCTCGTTGCGCTTGTGAGCGTCGAACCAGTCGATTTCGAGACCCTGCTTCAGCGTCTTGCCCTCCTTCTCGGCAACAACATCGCGCTTTGCCTTGAGGAAGAAGCGGTGGCGCTTCTCGTCCTCCTCGATTTCACCACAGATATCCCAGTCCTGGGGCTTGAAGACATCCTCACCAAGGAGGACATTGGCATGGTTGAAGCCATTATGGAAGAATCTCTCAAACAAGGTGGGATGGGTGTGGTAAGCAGCCCAGACCTTGGTCGAGGTGACGTCGTGGCCGTCCATGCCGGCGAGGATGAGGTCGTCTGGGCGCATGAGGGCAGCCCACTCACGGAGTGAGGCGACAGCCTTCTTCCAAGGGTCGTTAAAGAGGACGGAACCCAGAGAGAGGAAGACTCGAGGGGAGGGTATGTCGTCACAGAAGGCGAGGCCTGCCTTGAAGTCGCCCCAGAGCCCTGCCATGCGGACGCTGCCAACCGCGTGCTCGGGTGCAAGGGCCTCGAGATTGCAGGTGAGGGAGTGTTTCGAGATGTCGAGGGCGAGGTATGTGGCATTGCGGCCGTGCTTGGCAAGTTCTTTCAGGAGGAAGTTGACCTTACGCATGTCACTGTATATGGAGGAAAGAAATCAAGTCAGCAAGTATTCATCACCGAAAGATATCCAGTATAGATAAGCAAGGGTCACATCTTACCCGGCTCCCAAGTCAATCATGGTGGCGTCGTTGGGGATATAAATGGTCGCCATCTCCTCGCTATTCTTCTCAAACAAGACCATCTCGTCGCGGGTCTGGTAGAACTCGGGGGTGAAGATGACTTCTGCCCAGATGGCCAGTCCCTCGTCGTTGTACAGCAGCTCGTCGGGCATGGTTGGGACCTCGACACTGCCGCCGACACCGGCATCTTCATGCTTGGCGGCGACGGTGAAGACGCTCCGGAGGTCCTCGAGGATGGTGGAGGACATGCTTCCGCCGCCGATATCGAGCACGCTGCCGTGAGCGGGCATGTTGGCCATTTTCGATTGGGATGCCATTGTTTCTTTTCCCTCTTCTTCTTGTGACTTGCAAAGGAGGTTTGAAAGGGGGGGCTGGCTTTGTACTGCAGGTTGCCGTCTTGGTTGCTGTTTCTTTCCGTTCTTTCCCGATGAGAATGGTGCGGGTTTCGAATGTCGGTGAGGAAGAAGGGCAGTTGATATGTGTCAAGGTAATGGCAATGTCAATGGACAGGAATGGTTTTGACTTTGTGTCGGTGTTCAAGTGGGATGATTGTAGAAGTTGATGAGTGTTCAATAAAAGGGAAGAAGCCCAAACGATGGAGATTCCAGTCGATGCCTTTTTATACATATTCTCTCTCTCGCCTTTCGACTGGCGGAAGGTTTCTACCACACCCGGAGAAGAACTCCTGAATCACTCGTCATCAAGAGCATGCCGTTATTCACGTCTTCCTGCACCTTTTCCCTTCCCTTACCCCCCCACTGACCCCCTTTTTTCCCTTCATCTCATCTCATCCCTGAAGACTTGACTGAACTAACCCTTTACCGGAGAGAGAGAGAGGAGAGGGGGAGGGCGATCTGCCTCATTCACAGTCTTTGTCTTTTGATAGCACAATACCAAGTAGCTTACCACCACTACTGCTACATACTACATCATTATAAGACCTGCGATATCTGAGTGGATGTCATTGGGCAGAGAGGGGTGAGCGTGGAAGGTCTCTCCTTACGCCTCTCCCTTGGCAGACGCATATATGCACAAGCGCCCTGAGCGAGGTAGGTGGTGTTTGTCCACATCTACAAGAAGCCATATCCCACTCGGCCCCCCCTCTCTCTCTCTCTCTCTGTAGTTGGGTGGTAACCACGAGGACAAGGAGAAAAGATGCATGCACGTAGTAATGACACTGACGATGCGAGGCAAAGTGTCAAATCCCTGACTTACACCAAATAAACCCCAAGCAACCCCCCACCCTTGGCCTTGGCCTTGACGTTTACTCGATCGCCGAACTGCGAAAAGAGGTTAAAAGGGTTTCAGCAGCTTGAGCAGCTGAACCGCCCAAACAGAAAAAAAGTCTGACAGGCAAACAAGAATGCAACGCCCAAAGGTACTTACCTACCTGCCTGCCTTTTCTCCCAGTCCGTCGGTCGTCGGTGAGATGTGGAATCCGCCTCGTCGTAGACGGGTACATTTCCCGATGAGACGTCTCTGAATCCCACAGCCTTGTCCGTGCTTGGGCAAAGCCAGTCAGCCAGGCTCGTTTGACAACCTTGACATATTGATGACAGGGCCACGCTAGGTCCGGCGCGGTCCTCCTCTTGTCTCATTCCTCCTCCATCCTGCGCCTAGGGCGTCCACCCTCTTTCTGGGAAACGCCACTCTTTTTGGTTCCTTGACCGGTTGGACGGGACCAAATCAACCCAACCCAGGGGAGAAAGACAAGACAACGACGGCGTTCCAAGAGAAACCAAAAACAACGAAAGGGGTGTGGTTGGACAAGGGGCGGCGGTGGTGGTGGTCCACCGACGCCGCAACGCGGGGGTCGCAGTCAACGCGAATAAGGAGTGAGGACCGGGCCGCTTCGGGGTCCGTCGGAGAGAAAGCGTAAAGGGCTCGGCGGCGTAGATCCATGCGGAGGCGGGTACTACGACCGAAGTTCCGCGCTTCTGCTTTCCTATTGTTGGGTCACAAACGCTGGCCATTGTGCGTTGTTCCCACTGGCACCCACAAACATTTCAATGTTGCTGGGCCTGCATGTTGGTTTCCCGGAGCAAAGACGCGGCAACTGGTTAATTGGTCCTGCAGTTTGCCTATGCAGCGGATAAATAATGGCGAGATTTCCCACTTTACAAGAGGTCACGATGGGACGAGAATGAGTTTGGATCCGAATGTCGCAAGGAACACTCCCGCATATGCGCTGGCTCGCTGGCCTGCTGGGGGGAATGGGTAGGATGGATGGCCGCCGGCCAGTATCCTTTCCTCGGTCAAGACAAAAGGGCGAATCCGACGCGACCCCGCGGCTGATTGATCGAGACGCTGTCGAATCGGGCTGACATCCCGCACATTTGAGAGCCATGCCGCATAAGCTCGGTCAACCTAACCTGCCGTCCACGTAGGTCAAAAGGTGCACATCGCTCCCCGGATAAAAAGACGTCGGACTCATCTCTCAAGACTTTTGAAACCGGGGAGGTGGGTATCGTGGGTCTCAATGTCGCAGATATGAGTGGCTATCTCGCGTGATTCTCCCCGTCCAGAAGGGGGATGAGTTATCGTATTTAATTATCAAGCGCATCTTCACCGAGCTTCGAATGTCTCAACGCCTCATTTCCCGACCCCTATGCACCGCGGATCTATCAGTAGGTTTCTCACACGTGGTTTTGATGCAACGTATCAGGCCCCCATTCCCAAGAACGGCAGGCCAAAGCAATCGATAGGCATGTAGTGTCAGTTGCAGCCTTCTCAAAGCCAAGTTGACGAGTTACAGGTGCCCCTTTCATACGGATGTGGTTCAATCCTGTCCGGCCGCAACACGTTTACTCGGCACGATTGGTCTGTGTGTTTCTGGGCCGTCCTTGGGCACTGCGCACCGGCTCCGGGTTGGCTTTACGGAGCGGTCCGCCTAGTATCCGTAGGGAGATGACGAACAACGCAAGGCCTCTTGATGGTCTTTGCGGTCGTGGAGATCGACCGCGGAATGTAACCCTGGGTGGTTGCAAATCCCCAAGCTTATCGTTTGTCCGGTTGAGACCGGCCTGGAGACGCGACTCAAAGACGAGAATGCTTCATCATGGCCAAGGGCTGAAGATGCACTTGAACCGCCTGCGCCAGCTCGCGTTATCCCACCAAGGGGGCACGTTACGTGTCACGAAGTCTTGCTTATTGGCGGAGATGCGGTTGACCCCAGTGCAGATGTCTCGCCTGTTTCTAGCCGCATCGGGGACTTGTCTGGCGGGTGACTTGCAAGACCTGCTGGTCCGACTGGGAAACCGCGCCACGAGAAGCTGATTCGTCGTCAAACGACTCCTTGAGCGACGAGGAAACCGGGCAAAGAATAACGAAATGCAGCCCTGACTGAGCTCAGTGCTTTGGTAAGGATGTGCCCGGAACCTTCGTTGGACCGTCACAGCGGGCCTCGGAGAATTGGTAGATGCCCACGGCCACTCGGCAACGTCAAGCCAAACCCTGGAACCTGATCCAAGCATGAAGGTGGCACAGCCCGGTGCGGAAGGGCCAACGTTTCTGCCGCACGCGCCTCGGAACAACGAGTCCTGTGGCCGGGTCCTCATTCTCGAACACAAACATGCCCTTTCTCTGGCGACGTCGAAGGGCTGTAGGCACAAAGCGCATCGAGTGTGTTTTCTTGCAGGTTTCGGGTGGTTTGAGCGCCCCCAGACTCGCTCATCCGACTGATCGAATTACTCGGTAATTACGGGTGAACCATGGTGTCGGATGTCGATGATTCCAGCCAGACGGACGCGACCCAGGCTGACCGGGGTCGGCATTGCTCCCGGAAGATTGAGGTTCCCTGTTGAGCGGCCAAACCGCGCGGAGTCAGGCCAGATCAGGCAGCCTCTCTAGCTGAGCCATCGTCATGGATCTCCCCGCTGGAGCCCGTATCGTTACGCAAGGCCCATGAGAGACGCTACGACGCTCGCTCGCAAGTCAAAGGCAAGGCTGATGGAGCGAGGCAAAGCTTGATATTCGACCTTTGAGGTTTTGTTCACCCGAACAGCACAGATGGGTCGCATTCTAGGCTGCCTGCGTAGGTATGATGAGCCTCGTTCCAGAGGGCTACAGCAGCCCATACCTGGCATGGAGTCATGTCGATTCAACATCTTTTTTTTTTCTCCTTTGGCCTGTTTATTCCAAGGAATACTGGTAAGCCTGATAACTGCTACGCCGCGCTTACGACAGAGAGCGAACTGTATTCGTACCACGAGCTGGGAGAGTGAAGTGGGTATCTCCCAGCGGCCGTCGGCCCCGATGAGGGTGTGGAGCAAGCGGCTCAACCTGTGAAGTTTGAGGATTCCTGACTCAGTTCTCGCCATTCGGCCGGATTGAACCTTTGATGGTGGTTTCAGAATTTGAAGATGCTTCAGCGATCAATTCGCCTCCTGTGCGCCTGGACGGGACGAAGAGACGAAGGTTGAGATGACCGTTGGTAGAAGCCCAATGCTGCCCAAGGTGGAGGTCAATAGCCTCCAGTTCGGCCGGGACTCGTCAACGGGTGAATTCAGTGGGAGGTGGTGGCGGCGGCGCCGTCGATACCTTCCAGAATCCAAATGGAAGAAAGGGAAAAAAGTATCAGACGCGTGTGTGCGTGTGTGCAGCCAGCGTTACGTTTCGATTCCCGAGCGGCAAAAGTTGGACGCGTTGCCTGCCGATCTCTGTCCTCTATCTTTTTCTTTGCGTTTTGCCCGCGACGCGTTGTCTTCCCACCTGCAA